AGGGCATGCTCTCGAGCCTGTCTGTGCCTCCATTCTCTCACCTGTCACATGGTTAAACTCGAGTCAGGGTTCTGGTGGGGATTTAACAGAGTACTACTCTATGTCCAGCTCCTCACCCAGGATCTGGAAAACAGTAGGAGTGCCATAATGCCAAGTCTCTCGGCCTTCCTTTGGGGAGAGGAAAATTAAAAAGCCTGTGCCGGATCTGATCTCAGCTCTGTTACTGACCAGCTGTGTGAACCCGAGCAAGTTGCCTAACCTTTCTTGGCCTGGAGTACGAAATGTGGGGGTTGAGTCTCCCTTCCGTGGCTGGAGGTGTGTTCCCAACATCCACCTTTTGGGGGCAGTGTTGAGCACACTCGTGTCTGATGACAGCATGTTAAAAAGCACCCCAGGGTCTCCCTGGGGCTCCTAAACTGATGGGAAGAAAACAGTAGCTCTCATCCTTGCATTTGCCTCCTGACCGTGTCTCTGGACCCCAACCCTCCCTGTGGCTTCGGGGTTCCAGGCCTCCTGGAATGTCGCATGGCCTCCAAGAACCCATGGGACCAATAAGCCAATGCCAGCACCTGCGAGAGCTGATCGGGGAGACCGAAAGGGTTAAACGTTTCTGAACTGGGAATTCAGCGTCAGTCAGCCGGGCCTCACAGCTGGCGAGGACGAGCTGTTTTATTAAGTTAGCGGAGGGGGCAGAGTTCTTCTGGGGAACAAGGGCTGTGTTATTTGGATGTTCTGCAGCGGCCTGATTACGCCTGGGGAAGGAGGGAGGATTTCCGGTTTGGGGAACAGGCAGCACTGTCCAGAGATGGAGAGGCTGGCCAAGGACATTGGGACAATGAAGCGCTGCAGGTGCAATGAAGTCATGCTTCAGGCAAGGGGTGACCTTGAGAAAGGAATCCGAAATGCTCGGGGAGAAAAAGTGAGGCCCAGGCAGGATGCGCTGGGCAAGCCAGAAGAGTCCTCCTGCTTCTCCGTCTGTGGGCAGCGACGGGCCCTGGGGCCTCCGCTTCTTCTCGGGGGCCGTGGGCGACCTGCCAGGGGGCTGGTGAGCGGCTGGGAGCCAGAGAGCAGGGCGCTAATTCCGGCCCCTCATCTAGGGTCCCGCACGCCCGGCCTCTGCATTTTTACTGTGGGCCTGTCTGGAAAAGCCTTGCTTTTAGCCTCGAAGCATCCATTGGCTTGTTTTTTTTTTTTCTTTGTCGTCATGTGGTAGTTTATATTTTATTCTTCCTTCCTCCTGGCTGTTTCTCCTGAACAAATCCAGGGTGGGGCAACTGGGATGAGCGAGAGGCATTTGTTCAATGGTACCTGAATCTCCACAGCGCGCCCTCTTTGAGTGCACTGGGGATTTTGCCCTACTTGCTCTTAGAGGGCTGTGTTCATTCTGTGAGTTCTCATTTGGCCTGGTGGTGCCCTGGCTGCTGTTGAGGAAAACCTTACCACACTCATGTGGGGCTGGATTAAGGAAGAAACAGGTCTGAGGAAGCAGTTGGTCGGAGATCTTCAGGAATGAGGCCGGAAGGCCCCCTGAGGCACAGCCAGGGGCGGCTGCAGGCTCAACCCCGAAGCCAGTCCTGGGACTCCCCTTCAGAAGGGCGGACGACCTGTCACTGTCGCCTGCAGGAAAGCGGACCATCCGGGGAGGCCGGGCAGAGCTACTGCAGTCCGGGGCTTCAGCCAAGAGGCAGGCAGACTCCCCAGCTCAAGAACCATCCACCCCCGACCTCTGAGGCCCAGGGCCCCTCTCCACCCTTGGCAAGTTGGAGGCAAGTGAAAACAAACCGTCCCGCCTGCTCTGCGACTGCGGCGTGGAACTCACGTTGGAATCTTCCAGAAATTCCTTTTCAGAGTTTTAAGGGCAGACAGTGAGATGCCAGATGAGGGCCCCCTTTGGAGGGGAAGAATGGAAGTGAGGAGCTAGACGGAGTCGGAGTCTGCCGATGAGAAAGAAGCCGTAGACAAGCCCAGAGTCAGTGACTCCACTTTTCCTGAAATTCTGGGTGGAGGTTTACAAAAAAACAAACAAACAAACAAAAAAAAGGGAAACTATTTGGAAGCCCCGGGAGTCCTTGCACATCCGGGCCCCAGGAGCCCAGTTCAGCCCCTGAGCTCCGTGCGTCCACTGTTGTCACAGATGTTACTTTACCTTTTCCCTCCAGGGGACAGGACAAAGAGGAACTCAGGAGCCCTTTCTCAACCGATGCTTTTCAAAGGGCTCTTTGGAAAGGTTCCACGACAGCCCTTTGTGCCTTAGTCTGCAGCTCTGTTCTGGCACTGGGTCCAGAAGGCTGACCCTTGGGCGGGCCAGTTCGGCGTGGCCCCAGCGCACCGGCAGCCTGGGCTCTCGGGTCGGTCTTGGAGGGACCTGAGCTCGGGCAGGGAGCTGGCGGATTCCCAGGTGGAGGGAGCAGATGCCAGGTCTCTTACCTCTTTGTGAGGTTGGGTCCGTGAAGGGGAGCGTGGATTCCTGAAGTCTGCCCTGCATCTCCTTGCTGCCATTTTTGTTGTATTATTATTATTTTTTGCAAATCAACCTCTTGTGCAAATGGGTGGGCTAGTGTTCCTGGGTCTTAGCTCAGTCTGGGTTCTCCCGGAAATCTGGAAGCTCTGGTCCTCACCCCCAGGAGGGTTCACTCAGGGTTACAGGAGGGGCCTGGGGCTGTGACCGCCACCTGGTGGTGACACGCAGCAAGTCTCCCTGCTCCAGTTAAACGCGGCCTGAGGGCCCGCAGTTTCCCACAGATCTGCCTTCCCGGTTCCCCGCACCCGCTCTGCCTGTTAGCTCCGGGGGCCCCTTCACCTTCCCGAGAGGGCCTGGGAGAACGGGAGTGAGCTCTGTGGAACCCACCCTTTTCTGACGGAGGCACGCGCACAGGACAGACGGCCTGCCCTCGGGTGCAGGCAGTGAGCCTGCCGCAGTCACTGGGCAGGGGGGGGGGGGGGGTTTGTTTGCTTACACACATCCTGGTGTGGCTCCAGGGCAGGGCAGGGCCGGTCTGTCCCCTGTGTGCCCCTGGAGGGAAGCTTTGGGGCTCAGGGCGAGCGCCTCGTGAGCGGCGCCCCGTGGGTCCACCCTTGGGAAGCGCGTGGAGCCTCCGGGTCAGCAGGGACCAGTGAGTGGGGGTGGAGAGCTCTGACTCACGCTGACCGTGGGCCTTGGGCAGAGAATGGGCACCGTCTCTGAAAAACGGTAACAACTCGCGAGTAAATTAGTCTCCTTGATGAAAGGCGTGCACGAATCCTTCCGTGGGAGGTTGGGCGGGCTGCGCTTTGAAGTCCCTGTCTTGCTTTCAAGTGGTTCAGAAGGGATCCGGGCAGTGCTGCGGAGGCTATTTTTAGCAGCGCTCCGCAGGGCCAAGCGGCTCCCGCGGAGGGCGGATCCGGGTGTCCACGGGACGCAGCGGGCTTTCACCGGGCCGGCGACATGAGGTTCAGGGTCTCGTCCCGTTTTAGCTCCCTTGCTGAGGTGGGCTGTGCGGGACCACCCAGGTCCCGGGGCTCTGCCTTCGTGGACAAAACGCGTGCAGCCTCCGCTTCCCATAATCCTCTCTGCCGTGTGAGTGTGTGTTTCATTTAGGACCTCCTTGTCAGCCTTCCTGGCCCCTCCCTCCTCCCTCCCTCCCTCCCCTCTTTCCTTCCTGAATAAAGCAGGGCTCCTGGGGAACCTTCCCCAGCGCCGATCCCGACTCAGATTTCAGATCGCAGAGGAGCGTTGCTGGCTGTCAAAGCGGAAAGGGAAGTTAGAAGCCACAATCGGTTGTGCGCCAGGTGAGGGGCCTGAGGCCCAGAGAGGTGCAGCGACCTCCCTGAGGTCACACAGCCAGTTGGGGGCCTCCGGCTTAGCCTCCAGCTTCCTCAGGCAGCCGGCCTCCTGCTGTTGGTTGGCGGCCCACTCTAGCTAAGTCTCTTTGAACTCACAGGTTTCTGGAAAGGACTGTTTGTTTTCCCCAGGTTTCTCCTAGTTTTTTCCGAAACCTACGGTAAACTGAGAAACGAAGATGTCACCGCTGTCATTCAGCACCGGGTATGTCCGTCCCAACCACCCCGCAGTCACGAACAGGCCTTGGGGGCCTGCGAAAGAGACGGTGCTCACAGCACGTGGCAGCAGGACACGTGGCAGGACTTCCCGTGACATCACAGGTGGGAGCGTCAGCCCAGGGGACGACGGTTCTTCCCTGGCTGTCAGAGCCAGGTTAGACTGCGGAGGGCTCCGTGAGAAAACCGCCGAGTCTTGGGCTCAGTGGGAGCAGCCCCGGGAGGGTGCCCGGACGCCCCAGCTGCACGGAATGTGCCGGGGCAGGAAGTGGGGCTGGGGCCCGCAGGCGGGGGAGGACAGCTGGCTGACCGAATGTGGGTTCGGCAGACGCTGCAGGGACGGCTGCGGTGACGCTGGATTTGGAGCAGCGACAGGGCCTCGGCTTCCAGAGCTTCCAGCTCTGTTGGGGCTTAAAGATCAGACCACACCGGGGAAGAGAGCACATCTCGGAACGCGGAATGCGGGCCCGCAGCCCTCCCCCGTCCACCTTCGGATTTCTGGATGCAATTTCCTCCGGTGCTTTCCACTCTGCCTCTCCCAGGCAGGATAATAAAAGGAGACGGAGAAAGGCTTGTCATGACCTCACCTCATTAAGGAGGTCACTCCTGCTTCCCGTGGGACCAAAAAAGGGAAAAAAAAAAGCAAGAACGAAACCCCCAGATTGCACCTCTTCCCAGGGATTCGCGGTCAGGACAATGGCTGGCTGGCCATAGCACTTCTTTGTCTGACTCTTGTTAAGCTACCCACACAAAGGAGAGCCTGAATGAAGACAGAAGTCAATTTGCAACTCAAAAAAAATAAAGTCATGGCACATAGGAGTGGAAAGAAAATCGGGGGGGGGGGGGACCTGGGTTCCCCATGGGACCTCGAGTCACACTGGCAGGTGCCCTGAACTCTCCTTCTTCCGTCCTTTCCCCAAGGCCAGGCCCCAAAGTGCTGAAAACCACAACTGCCCCCCCGCCAGACTCCCAAAGAGGGTGGGCGGTGACTTGGGCCCCAGTGGGACACAGGTGCCGCTCTGTGAGACCTCGGGTTGGCGGGACGGGGAGAGTCGCTCTTGAAGCTCTCTTGCTGAGGCTTCCCGGTGGGCTGGGTGAAGACCTGGCTATCAAAGGCCGTGGCCAGAAACAAACCCGTGGGCGTGACGGGCATCTCAGAAGGAGCGGGGAGAAGGCACGTGCCTGTCCCCAGAGCCACCCGACTCCAGGACGTGCCTTGGAATTGGTCTCTGAAGAAAACATCCCCCTTTCCTCCTGGTGGGACAGGAGGGGAAGGCCAAGGTGGGCCGGGTGGGAGGGAAGATGGATGGACCGAGGGTCCGACCGAGGGCAGCAGGGACCACGGGCAGCTAGTTCTCGGCCGGTTCCCGCTGCCCCTGCTTCCTCCCGACACTCAGAGCGTGTTGCGAAGCACAGTACTATGACCCCTCACCCCTGGCGTCATATTATAAAATACAAACGAAGGACAGTTGGAAAGGTCAGTTGGCGGGCGGCCACCCACGGCTCAGAAGTGCAAGGACCGCCGTTTCCGCCCTGCCGTGGGACGGGGGCTGTAGGGGCGAGTCTTCATTTCCACGAAGGGGATGGAGAACTCGTGGCCTTTCCAGTGGTACCAGTTGATGCCCTGGGAAGGAGAAAGAGGCGAGCGTCAGACCACCCGAGGTGTGGCCGAGTTCCCGGTGGGGCCAGGGCGCGGCCCCTCTCTGGCTTTCCCTTTCGGACGGGCCTGAGGCCTGGGTCTCTACCGGGAACGGACCGCGGCTCCAGGTGTTTGGGCTTCAGGACTCGCCTGCACCGGTCATGGAGGGGGATTTCAGAATCCCACCAGCGGCGAGGCCTTTCGAAGGGGGTAACTGTGTGTGACCACCCACTGCGGGAGAGTCAGTGGTTTCCACCGACGGTGACCCACCCTCTGGCTTTGCCCAGGGCAGTGGGTGTCCCTGGGGTGTCCCTGGCTGCCGGACTTCCAGTGCTACCGCTGGGGAAGTCCCAGGTGGCCCATCCTATGGACGCGTGGTCTCCAGTGGGGACAGCCAGCCCGGTTTACACTGGTCTCTCCCTTCCTGGGACACTTCTGAAGCTAAAGCGGAGCCTGGGAAGCTGCCCTTGGCTTCCCAAGGCTAGAAGATCTTCATGGAATGTTCTAGACGAGGACATGAGATGGGACTTGACTGGCTGCAGGGGCTCCTCTGGGGGAGTTCTGGCTCCTGAGTTCGGCCGCCCGTCTTCCTCTGCCTCCGCCCTGTCCTGCCTGGACCCCAGGTCTGCGTTCCTGTCCTCTCCATGGTCCTCCTTTCCTGGGACTCTGAGTGTTTCATGTCCAAAGGCAGGGGGTGGGGGAGGAGACCACACGTGCAGTGAAAGCATAAAGCTCAGGGCCCGGGGGTCCACAGCTCTGGGGCCTGCCGGAGGGCGGCTGGGCGTCACCCACCTGACTGTGCCTGGACTCCCCGTACTTCCCGTTGAGGTTGGTTCGGTGGCAGTTCTTATACCACCACGCTCCCTTGTAGGACTGGGCGCAGTTGGTCACTGCGATGTCGTTGTCTCTGTCCTCGGTGGAGAAGGGGCGCCCCTGGTGATAGCTGAGCGAGTCCCCTGGGAGAGAGAAACCTTCGTGAGGCTGTTCAGCTGGCCGCTCTTCAGCCAGGACTTCCTGGACGGGCGACCCACTCCCGCCCGGGCTGGCCGCCACTGCAGGGCTCCCTCCGCCTAGCGCGCCCGCGTCCACCCAGCGGTCAGCCTGGCTGCACTGAGCCTCCTCCGCCTTCCCCGGGCCGGGGGCAGCTGCCTCCACGCTGCCCCCTCCAACTCATCTCCTCGTCCCCCGACCGACCTCCCGCTCAGAAGGCTGCCCCCCGGCTCCACCTCGCCCCGTCTGTCTGCTCCGGGCTGGCCCTGGGACACAGACATTCCTGACTCCTTTCGTCTCCAGAGGGGACAGTGACCAGCCATGGTGACCGCCGTGCAGCCTGGCTACTTTTGAAATGATTTGGCCTGTTGCTGTGTTTAGCGCACTCCATCGCAATGGCTACTGTGCGCCCCAAGCGTGGTCAATGGGACCTTTGGTGGGGCACCGAGGGCGGGGCTCCCGGCCATCGGGAAAGGTCGGAAATAGGAAGAATAACAAAGGAAAGCGTGTCTTCTCTTTGGAGCAGTGTACCTGGCTGAAAAGAGAAATAATTGGACAGAGGTGGAAAGGGAGGGGCAACATCCTGATGGTCTTCTCAGTGCCAAGAGGCATTAACATGTGGCTAAAATTATACGCCAGCGTTTAGCCCTAGAACTGGAGTGGATGAGAGGGCCAATAACTCCATGTACCAAACAATAGAACATTTGGCAAAACAGGTTTCATGACATGTGCTGTAACAGAACGCAGGAAACAGACTGGCTGAGCCCAAGAAGCAGACTCAGTGTTATTATGTTCTGACAACACGGTTAACGCCACGGAGCTCCCAGAGACGGTTGTTCTACTTAGCAGAACTGTCGTAAAGATCTGTGCAGAGAATGGGCCGAAGCACGTGGTGCTGGTGGGAGAAGGAAATGCGGTGTGGCCGGTGGGGAACGTTTATGCTCTGCTGTTTGCTCCTTGATGGGGGGTGATGACGACGTCCGATGGGGGGGCATCTTGGAATCTGGGGGGGACCTGGTTTGTTTTCATTGGTTCAGAGATGGTTTTCCTTGATGTCATTGCAGGGGAGCTGTGTACCAAGACTGTAGTGGGCTCTGCTCTCTCTGGATAGGAGCCCATATTGATTAATCTAGACAAGAAAACTAATCGGTGGCCCTCCCATTGACCTTTGTTTTTTAGACCTTAACGGCACTCTCACTGCACTTAATTGCATTTTTCCCGAGTGCTCTGTGAAGCAGGGCCGGGGTCATTATTATGACTTTCCAGGCGAGGAAACTCAAGCCCTGGGAAATTGATTCCGGGTCCCCTGAGTGGTGTGGGACAGCCCGGTCCAGAGCCAGAGACCGACAGCCCCGTGCCCTGCGCCCTGCCCCCTGGCCAGCAGGGGCCGCGGTACCTGCGGTGCCGTCGTAGCTCCCGAGGCGCAGCTTGTACAGGCTTCTGCCGTCCTCGACGGAGAACTTGTCGTAGTAGGCGAAGGCGGCCTCCTGGCCGTCCCGCATGTCCACACGCAGCTCGTAGCGGCCCTGGGACGTGACCCTGTGGATGTTGTCCAGCCCTGCGGAGGGGAGTGGAGAATGCGGGAGCCTGGCCCTGGCGGCTTTGGAAATGGGGGTAGGAAAGGGAACCATGGGCTCGGAACAAGTGTGACGAGGAAGTTGGGGGTTTTTGGAAACCCGCGGGCCGCAGCCCTTCCCAGGCTGCTGTCCTCCCAGACTCTGAATTTCCTCCTGCTAAAGGCCAGCGCAGGCGTGCTGAGGAGTCCCTGCCACAGGGCGGCTCAGGGGGCCCGATGTCTCCGTGGGACCCGGTGACGGGCAGGCCCCGAGCCCCAGCACTCGCCGCTCTGTGCCCGCCACCTCTCACTCCAAACGTGGTGCTGGGCGAAAGTGACCAGAGGCATCCCGTGGGTGTGAGCCTGCGGCCCGAGTGACAGGAAGAAAGAGGTGGAAACAGGTGGCGTTCAGGGCGAACCCGTGGCCAGGGTACCCGGACATCCTGCCGTCTCCGAGAAGCCTGCAGAGGCAGGGGTCTGTCCGCCTTTCTCACACCCCCTCCTCCCGCAGCCCCCCCCCACCCCCCCAGCTCGCACTGCCTCCTTCTTGGATTATTGCCCTTGACCAGACGGCAGACCCCTCACCCTGGAAGCTGCACTCTCCGTCCCCACACCATGGGGCAGACCTCCACAGTGCCTGATGGGGCGGGGTGGGGGTGGGGGGCAACGAAAGCCCGACCCCTTACCCCCACCCCTGGGAGCAGTTTATGCTCAGAGTGTCCCTGGGCATCACACTGAAGCTAACCTCCAGCCAAGGCCTCACCTTTGCACTCCACCCCCACTTTGTCCTGCTTCCCCTCCCCCTTCTCCTGAGAGCACCCCCCAATATATCCCTTGAACGGGAATCTCTGTCGCAAGCTCTGCTGCCAGGGGACCCAACTTCGCAGAGAAACTGGGGGTCACAGTGTTACCCCAACCTGAGCACTGCTGCCGACAACGCACCGCCAGGCCAGGCCTGTGCTCCGGACCCTCCCCGCTCCCTGTCGCCCACGGCAGCGAGCCGAGACGTCTCCTCCCGACTTTGCCTCCTGCCCGCGCCTTCGTCCAGCCCACCTAACCTCGCCTTCTTCTTCCCCTGGCTCAGCTGTCCTCTGGTGGGCCAGTTTCTCCCCTGCCCTGTTTGCACACATCGAAAGGGGCCCTGTCTTCCCTCTTTTCTGGCTCCTGTCCTCCCCTGATGCCTCTCCACGCAGCCAGACCCATCCTGCTCTGAGTAGCTGGGGCTTCCCCGTCAGTGGCTTGTAGGTTGCTACGGTGTTTCCCGTGTGGGGTGACATCTCTGATGGTACGACAAGAATTTGGGGCCTAAGGACTCAATAACCTTGAACGTATGGGGAGAGAGGGATTACCAAATTCTCTCGCTTTCTTAATCGAGTAAGGAGAAACCTTACCCCTGATTCTAACCCTGACTCTCAGTGTCAGTTTGGCTCTAAGTACCTTTGCGGGGTAGCGCCCAACACTCCCTAATGTGCACTGTTGCCAGCACCGCCACCGTCAGCAACGACAGCAGGCTGGCAGCCCCCGCATTTAACTGCCATTTAGTAATATTAATATGGTTTTCATGGCATTGACTTTTGAGGCTCCCTCTCATCACTGCAGATAACGAGCTTTCCATCTTCAGCAATGCTTTGACGTTTGCTTCCCAAAACAATAGATTTAAGGAACTAAAATGAGTGGCACCCAGAAGGCGTTACGTGCACAGGTGTGGGGCACGAGAGCCCTGTCTGCGACGGGCGCACTGACTCACGGGTACTGGCTGCCGACCCTTAGAGGGGAAGGGTGTTTTCCTGCTCATTGACTTTCCTCTCAATGCTTTTATATGGCTTTTACCATACATTTTTATTAGCTACATCAGCAAACACACATCTGGGCACTGAAGAAATTGCCAATAAATTCTTACCATTGACTGATCCATTAATTGATAGCTACAGTTTAGGGGCGGACTCTTCCCCAGGCAGTGCAATAGGCAATGCGGTTACGAGAGGAATGTGATGTGGCCCCAGCCCTAAAGGAGGTTTCCGTGGTATGATCTATAGTCGTGAGAGAAAAGGAAGGGGGCACTGATAAGGGAGTGGCTAATTCTCCCACAGGCACAGGGCAAGGCCAGCGGGTAGGGTGGGTTCTCCAGGCCTTTGAATATACACAGACGGACACCAAGGTGCCTAGAGGAGGGGCCGAGTGGCCGGGAGAGTGTTCCTTGCAGAGGAGACATCAGTGATTCTGAATGTTTGGAGGCTGGGGCTGGGCTCGGGGCATGTGGGAAGGAGAGAGGTACTCGGTGGCAGGGAGCAGGCTCCCAGGGAGAGTGGGGGGGCCCGATGCCTGAGCTGAGGTGTCTGGCTTGCACCTGGTGGTGGCGGTGAGACCTTGAGAAGTTTTACAAATGGGGTTCGCCACTGCTCAGATCGTTGGGGTGAGTAAGACCGTCCTGGGGGCCACGTGAGCAATGAGTAGTCCTAGAGGCGCAGAGGCCGCTTAGGGGCAGAGAGATAATGAGACCCGAGAGGCAGTGAGAGGGAGGCGGAGAGGGGCCGCCGATTTGGGCGCCGTCATTCTCCTTCCCCCGCCGCCCGGCACAAGTCACTGGGAATCCAAGCGGGAGGCAGACGCAGGGCAGAAGCACGCGTTGCTTCCTGGGCGTGGCACCTGCCTGGGTCAGACGTGTGTGCTTTCCTTCCACACCTGTTCAGTCCTCAATCGACACCTCCTGCTCGTGCCAGGCCTCTAGGGAATTGATGGCTACCTCTAATGCCATTCTCACTTTTCTCCACCCCCTGCCGAGTCAGGGAAATCACATTCTCCAAGGAACTGGAGCAGAGCGACGGCCTCCTTCTCTCGGCCCCACAGGCTGGCTGGCTGGTGCCTCACTCGTGAGAGGTGGCCAGCCACCCTGGCGCTCCTCAAGCCCCCTCGCCCACCAGGCCTGCCCCTGCCTTTGTAGTTGCCTCACGTCAAGACCCATCAGCATAAGAGACTATTAGTGAGGATGGGAAGAGACAGCGCAAAGAGGAAAGCACCACAGTAAGATAACACAGATCAATAGTGCAGCCAAACAGAGCCAGCGGTGCCGAAAGCAATTCACGGGCTGTCAGCTTCTCAACAGACGCGGGGCTGCTGATAACCCCCGACGGGCCCGGAAGGGGGAGAGGCGGACGGAGAGCCAGGGCAGCGCGGCAAGGAAAAGCAGCACGGAGACGTTACCCAGCCAAAACTCGTCCTCCAGGTTCCCGAAGCCAACCCGGTACTCCGCCCACTTCCGGAAGAAGTCGGTCTGGCCGTTCTGCCGTCTCTGGAACACCTGCCAAGAGACGGGGAAAATAATGGGACGCCGAGAAAAGGAACTCTGGCGAGTGAACTTGCCGTCACTGAGTTTTATACCCGCAAGGACAGAGCTGCTCAGATGAGGAGCACTGCCATGCAGAGCTGGGCATTTGCAGAGCCATGTTCGTAGGAGACCCCCGGCCCCGACGAACAGGTCTGGGGGGCATGTTGACACTTACTCGCACCCCTGGGATGTAGGATGGATTCAGGGACACACTGAGCCCCCAAATCGTCAGGGAAAACCGGCTGGGCTCCCAGGTTCTCCTTGCACCGGGGAGCGCAGCAGAAAGCATCCCTCGCCCAAAGAGCAGGACCGGCTTCCAATCAGCCAGTCCCTGCCATCATCCCAACGCAGGCAAAGCAACTGCATATCAGTCATTTTCCGAGCTGCTTAAGTGCTAATTTCGTCTAATCTCCACTACATCAGCCCTGGCTTCAATTTCCCAGTTATGCTTTACAAAGGAGGCCGAGGTACGTCAGAAACAACAAAGGAAATGTCTCCCCAGAGGAGCGGCTATGAGCACCGTTGTCATTTCCCTCCATTCAGAACCTTGTTTCCACCCGCACCCACCCAGCTAAGGCCGGACGGAGGTCGGGCCAGGCCGCAGGAGCCCTGCCCGCCTCCTGGGCTGCACTGGTGGGCAGGGACAACCCTGAGGCCACCCTTCTCGTTTCTCAGTCCTGAGCGGTCAGTCATGGGAGAGGATACTCGCAGGCGGTGGTGCCTCCCTTTTCCTAGTAACTGGTGCCCCCTGAAGGCTGTGGCATTCTGGGGAAGAGCCAGAGAGGCCAGGGGAGGACGGGGACAAGGGTGGCTCGAGTCACTAGAGGTGACTGCCTGTGTTCGGTCCCCCATAGGCAGTCGTCCTGCAGCCTCAGCTCCTGTCTCCTCACTGGAGCAACAGTTCCCAGCAGGCAAGACCCGGGCCTGTCTGAGCCACCGGTCCCTGTCCCTGCATGAACAACTGCCATCGCAGAAGGAACCCCCTCCCTGGGCCAGGCCACGGCAGCCTCCGTTTGTTACTCCTCTCTGCCCGACCAACACCTGGGACTGGGCCGCTGAGGGGGAGCCCCGAGGGAAACGAGGAGCCCCTTTAGGAGGGACGTGCGGGGGTGGGCGAGGGGACGGGCAGAGGAAGCTGAAGCTGGGGTCCCCCGGCGCTGCGCCGGGCGGCCCGGGACGCCGGGAAGTCTGCGTGCGCGGGGAGCAGCGCGCACTCACAATCCAGCCGCCGCCGTCGGTGGTCATGTCGCAGTACACCTGCAGCTTCTGGCGGGGCTCCCCACGGAGGAAGATGGTGTAGACCCCGCTCAGCGTGTCGCCGTTCATCAGGTGCTGGGCACAGTCCTGCGGGTGCGGGAACACCCGGCCCCCTGCGGAGGAACAGAGGCCGTTTCCGGAAAGGGCCCTTCCCCCACTCGGCGTAGCCCTTTGAACCGGAGAAGGGGCAGGGCGTGTGGCCAACCTTTTGGCGTCTCTGGGCCGCATGGGAAGAAGGAGGGTTGTCTTGGGCCACATGTTAAGTACGTTGTGACACGTAATAACGAGGGAAATCTCATGTTTTAAGTAAATGTATGATTTTGTGTTGGGCGGCATTCACAGCCATGCTGGGCTGCATGGGGCCCACGGGCTGTAGGTTGGACACTCCTGAGGGTCTCGTGGTACCTCGTGAGGAGCTGCGAGACGTCCACTCAGGACGTCCCACAGTGTGCGGGGACCCTGCCTCACCCTGCATCCCCCCTGCTCAGCTGATGTGGATTAATCAGACAATCACAGTCTTACAGGATCGGAGGACCAAGGAGCTGGGTTCAAGTTCTGCCTCCTCCACTTACCTGGTTACCTTAGGCTAATGGTCTGACTTCCCTGGGCACCAGATTTCTCATCAATAAATGGGGATAAACAAAATACCCCTCCCCCGAAAGGTGAAGGTGTGTCAGTGCAGCCAGTGACTGTCACTCAGGCGATGATGACAGGGGCAGGCCCACAATGCATCACTGTAGGGCCCACCTTTCCAAAGGATGGGAGGCACCGAAGCACAGATTTCCGCCCTCCTCACAGCGCCCACGAAGGGATGCCCAGATAAACTCAGCATGAGCAAGAAGACGGGTATCTGCTCCTCGGGCAAAATCACGTCCTGATTGGACTAAACAGTCAAATGTCCATGCTTTACAGTTCAGTGGAAGTTTAAAGAGAGGGCAGGGGAATAAACGGCTGCTCATCTTTCCGTGAGAACAGCCCAATTTGTTCAACAATATCTAATTAGCTGAAAGCGAAGCTTAAATCATGTGTCTTGAAGAGTTTAGCTTCAGGGCACATTTTAATGCTTAGAAGGCAGACGGAGGAGCAGAGATCCCAGCGGCGGGCTCTGCGGACTGCGGGAGCTGGTAGAGCGAGCGAAAGGCGGGGCGCAGGAGTGAGCGACTGAGATTTGGGGGCCCGGAAAATAGAACGGTGTGGCTGAGGTGCCTCTGCAGCCGTGGCCTGCAGAGCAGAGGCAGGAAGAGGCGAAGTGTGGACCTCATGGGCCAGTCACTGCAGTGTCCCCTGTGCATTGCAGGGTGTGACGGCTGGCCCTTGGGGGGTCATTAGAGCAAATGACAGCATGATGCCACGGAAGGAAGGAGAAGGAACAACATCACGGACAGCCCACGGCATCTGAACGCCTGCCACGGACCATCAGCAAAATATCCTGTGTTGGGAAGAGGTCTTTGGGGTCCCACAGACTTTGCACAAGGCCCCTTTGGAGATGAGTTAGTGCCCCGAGCACAGGACTGTCCTTCAGCTCTGCCACGCCAGGGTCAAGGGTGGCTGCCATTGAAGGCGGTTTGGAACAAAGGTTCTGCCCACCTCGGCCATGGCCACATCAGGGGATAACAGTGCATTTCTATGGAACTTGTGCTTGACAAAGTGCATTCTTATCTTCATCTAATGCTTGCAAGAAACTTGAGAGGAAAGCAAGATTGTTACGAATCAAAAGCTTCTTTTACAGAGAACACGACTGCACGCGGAAAGATCACATGACGTCCCCTGTCCCGTGGACTTGAGTTTCCAACTTCAAGTCAAGCGCTCTGTGCATTCCTTCTGCTGAGAGAGAGACTAGAACACGATGCAGTTGACTGGATCTGCCTCTGTCCATGCGGCAAAGGATGAATCAATGCCTGTGTCTAATTGGTAGGCACAGAGAGCCCCAAAGGCCAAAGTGACCTAAAAAAATGTCCTACATTCAAATTAAATATCTTTACCCCCCAAACGGAAAACCGATTTTCTGAATAGCTGCAGCAATGCCCTTTCATCGGCAGCGTGTCCTAGGGCTCATCAGCGTTCGCTGTCCCGCCTGTGCCTAGAGGTCACAATTATATTTCGGGACAGCTGCCAGACAGCTCCTTCCTCTCTCCTTGCTGCTTGGGGACACCGTGATTGTCTCCCTTTTTCCACATCATTCTGCACCTCGTCTCTGGAGCAACCAGCCTTCTCTCGCAGCTCGGCTCTCTCATTTTCAAAATGCTGCGCTGAACGCTCTTGGTCTTCAGCTCACTCCTACTGTATGCGCCAACAGCCCCTTCTCCTGAATCGACTTAGCTTCTTAAAGGAGCCAGCACCCCAGGTTTCTTCCTAATACCCAACGCATGTGTCCCTGGTCATCCTCTCTCAAACCTTAAAACGGCAACCTCATGCAAACACACACATGCAACTGAACCAAGCCAGAGTAAGTCCATCAATGATCATATACAGGCTACTTCACATCAGTCACGTGGATTATTTAATAGTTTAAATACTTTTAAAAGGCTCAAGTGCATCAGCTGCTTTAAAGGGAGATGACCAGAAACAGATACAACAACCTGAGATGACTTGCCCCGGAGAAGACCATTTCTTAAACATGTGTGAAGGACTCTCATGCAAAAGAAGAATTCCTTCTTTTATTTTTAAAGTCAGAAAACGAGGACGCAATCGACGTATGAGTGAAGTGTGGTCCAGGCGGTGTCGGCGGTTGGGTGGGAGGAAGGTCCCAGGCTGCACCGCGTGGGGGAAGGGCCCCGCTTTGGGCGGGTTGCGGGAGGCGCTCAGCCGCTGTGTGTGCGGGGCTGCTGCCCGGCGGCCGGGTGCACTCGCCTCCTCCCCTGTGACGCACTGCAAGCACACCTCTTGCTTAGAGATGCCCTCCCTGTAATTTAGTCAGTGGCCCTGCTGGAAAGCCAGCCAACGGGCATTTTGTTCATGCAGAGTATCAGGAGCAGCGGCCTGGGGTTTCTACCTCCTGGGAGCTGGGAAAAGACGCATTTGTCATGAAACCCCTGCCATCCAATCCCTGTGGCCCGCAAGGCTGCCAAGGGTATTGCCTCCTTAGTCACATGATTCCTTTCCACTGGGTGAGAGGAATCAGAGGCTGGTTAATTGTTCCCAAACTGGGGCCTTTATTGGAATTCAGATTCCTGGTTCTGTGGCAGAGCTGCTGAATGAGAATGTTGGGGGTGGGTCTCAGGTTCAGAATTTCACCCAGGCTCCTCAGGTGAGCCTGAAGCCCGCCTGGACTTGAACGCCACTCCTCCTCTGGTGCAGTCCCCGCTCCTCAGAGAGGCCGAGGAGCGGCACTGGTGAGCAAGACTGCGCCCCCGAGGGGCCTGGCGGTCGGTCCTCTCCACCTAGACCCCTAGGACTGCGTGGATAAATCGACTGAGTCTCTCTGTCCCTCCCTCTCTCCTTTCCTCTCCTTCCCCTTTCTCCTTTCCCTTCCCCCTCTCTCTCCCACAGGTATGTCTTGTGGGGGGAAGGTCCCAAGATTTAGATTGGGGGGTCTGGGAAAGAGGAAACAAGAGCCTCTCTAGCTTTGAGCTGAAGCCTGGGGTGCCCGTCTTTACCAGGAGGTTCTGCTCTGGCGGCTGTTGGGCTTTGGCCTCGCTGATGATGAAGACGACCCCGATTCCCGTTCTGTCGTGTTAGCTGCATGCGCACTGTGGGTTCAGATGTTTTTAGCGAACCGTCAGGGTGGATTCAGGCACCCCTAGGTCTCGGGATGCCCTGCCGTGCAGCGCCATCAGAAACTCCCCTTTAACCCTAACACGGGTCATCCCAGAGATTTCTCCCAAGGCAGACGTTTCAGGGCCCAGAGCAGCGCTGGAAGCTTTTCTTCCCGTCGGTGCGAGAGCTGTGGCCTGGCCCAGAAAGAGACTTTTTTCCCGCTTAAGTACAGGCTGTGTTGATTACCGAGTTAAGAGGAAAGCAATGCCAAGTGATGGGGACACTGAATGTCTCCTGGTTGAAGTGTTTCTAGATGTAATTGTGAGATCAATAGGACTGGGCACTTTCCGGAAGAATTGCTCAGAAATTGGTTTGTGTTGGGATCTGAAGGCTGCCAGCCGCCGGGAGTGAGGGAAGAGACCTTTTCTGTCCCTGCCGGCCCCTGCCTCGTGCTCTGTCCCTGGACACAGTCTTTAAAGTGGCCCGAGTCTGTGGCTTTGGAGAGTCTGTCCACGGCCCGCCCTTACGGCCTCAGTGTCAGGACGGGAGTGGAGATGGCAGCGTCTCTCCCTGGGAGCGGGCCCAGGACAGCCGGGTGTGCGGCTGCGCACACGCACCGGCGGCCACCTCCGGCCTCCAGAACTCGGGTTTGTTTTCCCAGAAGTGGGTCTGTGGTTGGCAGGTTTGGGGGGGGGCAAAGTTACCTGTCCGGCCCACGTGGGCTGTCAAACCTACCACCGTAGCCACCTCGACAGCATCTTCTAATTCATTTACCGATTTATTCTTTTATGTATTCATTCAACAAACCCATAGGAAGTGTCTGTTGAGTTCTAATCACTGAGCTAAGAAAGAGGTGGGAATGAATGTATACTCTTTTAGGTTGCTCACACTCTGGTGGGAGGCACGGACATAACCCTAAATTCTGTGTGCTCTGGAAGACGGAGAGACACAAGGAGCTGTCAACACCCAGAAGCGAGCGTGCCGAGAGCCTGGGGCTGCCGACGGGCGGTCCAGCGGGGGCGGGGAGGCCCGGGACGGGGCAGGGGTTGGCGGCTGCTCATCGGAAAGGGCTTCGTCTTGGAGGAGCTGACGCAGAAGTGAGCCACACGTTGATGGGCAAGGGTGTTTCGGGCCAATGGAAAAGCACGGCCTGTTTGGGGACACAGCGGGCTTGGCCAGGAGACCGTGAGAGACGGCCGTGTGGGTGAGGGGGAGCCCTGGGGAGGCAGACGGGGACGGGGCCACGCCACTTACAGAGCCGGACTTGGTCCTGAAGGCAACGGGCTGAAGAATCCCAGGGCGGGCTTCCAGCTGCAGTTTTTAGAAAGACTGTCCTCATCCTCCAAAGACTGGAGAATGAGTCAGGTGTGGGGGAGACTGGGGGTGCGGCTCATTTAGGGGATGGAAGCCGTGGGAATCCAGAGGAGAGGTGGCCACAGACTTTGGGGAGGGGACGGGGACAGAGGATCCACTGGGTTCTCTTGAGTGGCTTGATCTAGAGATCAGGATCTAGATCTAGAGATCTAGAGTGATCTCTACACGGCTTGGACGTCGTCGTCAGCGGAGTGGCTGAGGACGGTCCGCAGGCTCTGCAGACGCCCTGCCTTCGGCCCACCGGGCCCCCAGGGCTGCCCCTTGAAGGTCAGCTGCAGGCGCCCTGACAGCGCAGACACGGCCCGACGGAACCTGCCTCGCTGGCCTTGGCTTCCCTTAGGTCCGGAGACCCGATTCCGAGGCCCACGAGCTGACCACGGACTGGCGGCTGCCAGCCCGGCCTCTCTCTGTGGCCAGGAGGGGGCTGGGCCATGGCAAGGCCACCTACCTGGTCTCCCCCTGCCAGGCTGGCCCTCCTTGCTTCCATTCTCCATGTTTTAACCAGAGGGATCTCTTTAGAACCCAAACGTGACCTGCCTCTTTCACTTGCCAACAAGCTTCCAATGGCTGCTCCAAAGCAACGGCTCAAGCTGAAATGGCTTCTTTTAATTAAAATAAAACCCAAACCCCTCACCACGGCCTATCTGCCATGCCCAGCCCTCTCTGGCTCAGTGTAGTACTCCCTTCCCTTTCTTATGGACTTTCCTCGAAACTTCTGAACCTGCCAAACTGACTCCTCCCTCGGTGTGCGTTCAGCACGCTTCCCTGGGCCCGAACGCCCTTCCGTGTCTGCTTCTCTCTCATCCTGTACACCCTGGCGGGAGTGTCTCAGCTCAGGGAGGCCTCTCCTCAGCACCCTCGTTGAGGCCAGGGCCAGGGGGTGGGGGAAGGAGGTGGCAAGTGACAGTCAGGAGAACCTTCCTCCTGGAGGGCCATCCTGTTCCGTTCCTCTGTTGATCTGCAGGGCAGTGTGACTACTTGAAACTCCCCTCGTCCCTCCTGCTGTCTGCTCCCCACTGCCTCGTGCTCTTGAGTGGGAGCTGCACGAGGGCGGTCGCCGGCTGCCCTTGTTCTGCGCTCGAGCCCCGCACTTGGCTCAGTGACCCGCCCACCCACCGCAGAGGCGCGGTCAATGTCTGTTGAGTGTGTGACTCCGCGTGAATTCTAGGATCCCTTCCGTGACGACGAAAAGGGAAATCACAGCTAGATTTTCTGAAAACAGCGGGACAGCACAACTGAAAATGGGCCAGGTGGAATTCTGTACGTAGTGACGTAAAGGCAGATGGCACTGCTGGTCGACAAAATCCAGTGCCCTCCCTGCAGAGGGACCACACAGCTCTGTCCCACGGAACCGTGCAGGCGACTCTACCTAAGTACAGGCCACGAAACGGACCAGTTCCGTGAAAATCACCCCCTGCTAAAAGTCACCCGAGATGAAACGGATGAGCTGACCAGTACTATAACCATTAACTGATAACCATGCAGATTTGCACGAACCCTTGACTGTTGTCCCGGAACCCAGGGCTGGCCAGTGCTCATTAATTTTCACAGCCCCCCAAACTGCAGCGCGTGCCAGAGCAGACCCCCGGGGGTTTCCCGGGGAGGCCCCCGGAGTGCAGCTCAGCCTGGGACCGGAGCGAAGGCGATAAAGAAAACTTCTCATTACCCGTCTCTGGGAGCCTCCGCAGATGATTGTCTTCGCTTAACCTCAAGGTCAAGACAACCTATTTCATGGTGTTCGCCGGCTCTGAGGATGCGCGGGAGCCGGCGCCTTGTTCGCTTCTCGGGGTATGAAAAGAGACAATGAAATCTGCCTCTCGGAGGGCCGCCTCGGAGTCTCGGCTGCTCCGTGGGGAGCATTTGTTTTCTCATTTATATTCATGTCTCCAAAAGACAAGTAGACCTTGGATGAAACTTCAGGCGGCAGTAAATTATAAATAATGTATCCACATTTTTTTTCTCTTCCATACTACTTCTATTAAGTTCTCCTCAGAGTCTTGCGCAAACACTGGAGACCAGAGGACAGGAAGCTATTAGCGGTGACGGCAGGAATGAAATGGGCTTACGTTGTAAGGCAGACAGGTGGCCGGGGAAGACGTCTTGATCAAAGGCGGCTTTGCAGAAGACCGGCTTTCCTTCCCTTCCCTTGCCTTCCCTTCCCTCTTTTCTCTCTTATTTTTAACACCTCGACTTTTTCCTGGCCCATTAAGGAGGCATCTGTCTGACATGAGTCTCCTCCGGGCCCACCCAGGACGAGGTGAGGGTTTGCAGATGGAGAAAGGCCATCTAAGGGACCTGAGAGTCAGCTCCTTTTCCCATAAGGCAAGGCATAGAAAGTACTTAAAGTGGTCAGCTGAGACGGGCCCGTCCTCCCAATAGGATGATGCTAAGTGGGAAGCCCAGGTACTGCCGGCGAAGTCGGAATGGACGCTGGTCACGGGGTTGAAACTGGCCTCCAATCCATCGGCCCCGGCTTGCCCTCACAGAGGGTGTCCTGAGGGGTCAGGCAGACAGGCATCTAGAGATGAGGGACAGGCTCACAGCTGCCCCACACAGGTGCACAGCTGCAGCCCAGAACGGGGGGCGGGGGGAGAGTTCACGTCTGGACTGGGCGGTCCCACGTCACCGACAGTACAGAGAGGCCTGGCGGGGAGCGGCAGGAGGGAATGCTAACAGTGAGGACCCCAGGGCCGGAGCAACTGCTCGGCTCCCAGCTCTCCTAAGAGCTGTGCGCCTTCGGGGGACCCGCCTCTCCTCTCTGCGGCCCCATCTCCTCATCTGTCCGTGGGGGTGATAGAACATGCCTCAGGGGCTGTCGTGAGGATGGCATTAGATCGCACGCTGGGTGCGATCGGACCAGGGCCTGTCACACAGCCCGCGAAGGTCGGACATTAGTTCACTCCCTGCCACACACATCGGGACGGCTTTAGCCCTTAAGGACGCTCGGGTGAGGGAGGCAGGAGGGCCAGCTGCACGTAGAGGGAGGAGACCTTGGTGCAAGCTCGGACTCAGCTGCCTGCTAGCCATGGGGCTAGCCTGCTTACCAGCCCCTTGGTTTCCATGCACCTGTTCCCTCGCCTGTGAAGTGGGGCGCGTGGGCCCCGCTCCCCTGTCGTTGTCGGACCGTGTTGAGAACAGGCGAGTGCGGAGTGCTTTGTGAGTGGAGGAGAGCCGCGGGGCTAACGGGGAGGGTTCGCTGCCGCTCTTTACGAGGCCAGTCTCTCATCACAGGCGGCAGAAGGGAGGGGGAAGGGTGAAGTCTGCTGGAAAAACTCCTGCCGAAAATCCGAACAGAGGTCTGAGGGCCCCACTTGGTGCGTTTAGCTGGGCCAGGTGGGCCTGGGGCTGGTGCAGCGGCCCCTCTGCTTGCGTGGGTAGGAAGCAGGAATCGGGGTGGGGGGGGCGAGGCAGGAGTGCAGGAAGTAATTATTTCCCTCCTCAGAAAAGAGGCAACTGAGTTTCTCTGATGGCCGCCCACCCCCCCGGCCACATCTCAGCAGAGGCCGCCGGGGAGACTAATGTCTCTCAGGGTGGGAGGAGGTGGCGAGTGTCTCACCTGTGGTGAAGGCGGTGGAGGTGACGCTGCTCCTCTGGGCGTCCTGGGCCGCCTGCAGGAGGACTGTGTAGTCGGTGCTCTCAGACAGGCCCTCCAGCCGGATCCACGTGTCCTCCGCGTCCACAATCAGCTCCTGCGGGGTGAGGGGTGGGGGGAGGGAGATGGGAGGGCGCGGGGAGGGGGAGTCCCGTCCCATGGCCAGCGAGGTCAGTATTGCAGCGACCACTGCCACCCTCTCCATCCACGATGAGGAGAAAACTGAGCCAGTAACAGAGATGATGACTCCTATCAGCCAGAGGCATGCTGGGATGAAGGTGGGCGCCTGGACTATGGGACCCAGGGCTCTTTAGGTCGCACCGGGTCTCCCCGGGGCCCTCGGCCTCCCTGCTGCACAGGCAGCGGACTCGCTGGGCTCCAGTCCGAATCCGTGCTGCACACTCGCTGTGATTCCACTTTTAAACAGCATGCCACTGCCAACCAGAGTATGACGTCCCGTGCTCTGGACGGGCTGTCCCAGCTGATGCTGTAAAGCAGACATCTGCCGTCTCTCCGCAGCCGGCTATGGACTCGCTGCCTTTCTAATGGCCATCAAGGGGCATAAAAGGGCTGAACTTGGTGTTCAGCTCGTGCTCGCCTGGCCCTGCCGGTAAAAACCCTTCCAGGACCCTGTACTTACAGAGGCCCGGGAGTTTCCAGTGTGCTTCGCACCATCGCGCTGGAAGCACCCACCACTGAGCAGGATGCAGGGGTAGCAGACCCCCCCCACCGCCCCCTCGGGTCTAAGGTAGGAGCGAGGCTTGGAGAGGGCTGGCAGGTGGCCTTTGCCCGAGCCTCTGACTTGCGGGCTGGGGCTTATTCCCCAGCAGCGTGCGGTGTGTTCGTAGTGGAAAACCCAGCCGGCACCCTGTGGGTTGCTTGACAGAAACGTCCTTCCCCTCTGCAGAAGACTCACCTTGCGGCTTCCGTCGGCGGACTTGTAGGTCAGGACGTAGTTCTCGATCTCGGCCCTGGGGGGCTGCCAGGAGATCCGGGCGCTCTGTAAGGTGACCTCGCTGGCCGTCAGGTTTGCGGGAGCGTCCAGGACTGCAAAGAGGAAGAAGTGCCGGGAGCGCCCGCCCCTTCCCGCCCCTCCCGCTCCTCCTGGTCGGATTCCAGGCCCCTGCATCTCTCCGGCCTGTCTTTGTGGCCTCGGGGCTGCTCACGCGCTGGCCCCAGTCCTAGCTGGGGCAGACGCAGGGGGCACTCCCAGTCACAGGATAATCCTTTGGGGTCATAAGCATCCAGGCATCGATTCCCCAGTCGCCTCACCTGGGCCCCTGGGCCTAGGGGTGACATCTTCCAATCTGACCCTCCGTCTGGATTCACCACCTTGCTACGCCTGCATGTCTGAATTCACTCTCGAGCTTACCATAGTCTCGTAGCTGTATCTTTATCTACTGCTCTCCTGGCCATGGCCATATGCAGCAGCTCCCTCCCCCATATCAAGCCCTTTAGTGTCCATCAGACTGTCTGGGCCACAGGCATTCAGGGCTGGCCCCTCTCGGCCTCGCTCTGCTGCTGTCCCCGGACCCAAGACAAGGGCAGAAAGCAGATCCGTGTCTGCGGGCCGGGGCTGCCGCTGACTTCCGCTGGCGCTTGGTCTGTGGTCCAAGTGAGACCAGCTCCTAGCTCCTCTGCCAAACCCAGAGGCGGTAACCCAGCCCACCGCACAGGAAGCCAGCACTGTCAGGGTCTGCGCAAGCCTCCGGGGATGCGGGGGGTGCAGCTGACCGCGTGCGTACTCACGCGTGGAGAAGTTGGTGCTGACGGTGCCGCTGGTGAGGGGCCCGCTGGCGGCGTGCATGCTGACGGTGTAGTGGGTGCTGGGGAGCAGGTCCGTCAGCTGGAACTCCTCACTGCCCCCATCCACCAGGATGGTCTCTCCGGCGACTGAAATCAGAGGAGCACAAATGAGGATCGAATAAAGAGAGACTCCCCGAATCCCAAGGCATTTCACAAGGAGTCGATATGGGAGAGTTTGGGGTGGGGTGGGGGGAATCACTTAGAGGTTATTTAGTTCAGCCTTTCACTCCCTACAAGGATCCCCTCTTGCTCATGCGTCTCGAGGATGCAGATGGTGTTTTGCATCTTCATTAAAGAAAAATATTCCTAGCCCTGGCTGGCGTAGCTCAGTGAATTGAGCGCAGGCTGCAAACCAAAGTGTTGCAGGTTCGATTCCCAGTCAGGGTACATGCCTGGGTTGCAGGCCATGACCCCCAGCACCCGCACATTGGTATTTCTCTCTCTCTCTATCTCCCTCCCTTCCCCCTCTAAAAATAAATAAAAAAAATATTTTTTTAAAAGAAAAATATTCCTTATTTGGAAGCTGATTTGTCTTTCTTGTAACTTCTACTCAGGCGTCTGGGGTTACAAAGAATAAGCCAAATGCTTCGTCCACATGAGCTCTCCTCCCCTCCTCCCCCGATTAAGCCGTCTTTCCTCTGGACCGAGGAAACTGAGCCCCCAGCCCTCAGAATGTCTACGAGACGGTTCTAAGACGGCCCCAGTCCTGGCTTCCTTTGCCCAGACGGGCGGCAGTCGGTCAGCATCGCTCCCGAAACGCAAAACTCAGCAGAGCATGGAGAACCAGAGTTGAGAGGTACTGACCAATGAAACAAACAGCGTCAACCTTCGCGTTTATTCGTGCCGGTCACGTTAATCCATTCCGGAGACAGTCACGTGACGTTGCAAGCAAAGAGGCTTGCAATGTGGGCAAAGGGTGTGCATTATACACGGCATGATACAGTCGTTTGCGGGGAGCTTATTCTTAGGGAGCCTGTGCTGGTGCGTAGTTGTCACCAGTTCTTTTTCCCACTTGTTTCACAGTCCGTTTTGGTTCTTACTTTCCCAGGTTTTGACAATCAGTCTATCTCTTTGCAGCTCCCAGACATGCCTTCCTCTTAATTTTTAAAAAGTTTATTTTATTTCATTATTATGTATTTTTATTGAATTTATGGGGGTGACGTTGGTCTATAAAGTTACACAGGTTTCGGGGGTGTGATTCTGTAACACATCATCTGCACATTGCATCGTGCATTCACCACCCAAAGTCAAGTCTCCTTCCGTCACTGTGCACCCCCTTTCTGTCTTCCACGTCCCCTACCCCGTTTCCCCCTGGCAATCATCGTACCGTTGTCTGCATCTGGGTTTTTCTTTGGGTGGGGGGGGCTTTCCCTTAATTATGAAAATTAGGACATCAGCCCTGCCTTCTGTCTCCTGATAACTCTGTCCTCTGGATTCCTGAAGATGACCCACAACAGTTCTGGGACCACCCCCGGAGTTTAGGCAGGGAGATGATTTCTGCAGGCCTACAGGCTGGGACCCCTCAACCCTGTCTCCCTCTGGGCTGCACTGGTCAGTGTCAATGGCATGTGGTGAACCTCGCGGTGAATACGACTTTGAGACCCAGGGTTCATGCCGGCTCAGCCTTTGGGCCGGACAGAGGCAGGGAAGACCGAAGCGACAGAAGAGTTTGTCAGTTCTCGGCCCTCTGTCACCTGCTGTGTATTATCTGCTCCAAACATGGGCCCATAACTTTCGTGTTTTTCTTGCTCTGTAAATACCTAGCAAAACCTGCTTTCTTTTTTCTTAATCCTCACCCAAGGACATGTTTTTATTGATTTGAGAGCGTGTGCTCGAGAGAGATATTGATCGACTGCCTTCCAAACATGCCCAGACCAGGGATCAAACTCACAACCTAGGTGTACGCCCTGACTGGGGATTGAACCCGCAACCTTTTGGTGTGTGGAACGATGCTCTGACCAACGGAGCCACGCCAGCTGGGGTGAAGAGTCTACTTTCTTGCTCATCGCGCTTTGGGGCAAGTCTCAGCTCATTCCTGAGTTCGCCTTCCCAGTGCGCTTTCTCTGACTTGTATTTGCCCGTGGCTATATGCCCTCCTTGCAGCTTTCAAACCCGGCTTCCTCAAACCCCATAGCTGACAGAGTTGGGGGACATCTGGAGGATGGGGGAAATCTCTAATTTGTCCATCAGGTCGAGCACATGTTTTGGGGTTTGTTTTTTTTTCCCCGTTCACACTCCATTCAGTCCCGCCCCACCACGCCCACCTGTCTGAGGGATGGGCCTGCGGACACCCACCTGCCAAACGCGTGAGAACAATGACGTAGCTCTCCACGTCGCCCCCCGGGGCCCTCCACCGCAGCAGGGCTTCCGTTGAAGTGACATTGGTGGCGATCAGGTCCTCGGGGTTGTCCATGGCTGAGACAGGGTAGGAGAACGTCAGGGAGAGGGAGGGTCGACTACAGGCCGGAAGTGCAGCGGCTGGTCCCCTGCAGTCCCCCCCACCCAGGTGCCTCCCAGAGTTTCACCCACGACACACACGTCTGCCGCTGTGCCGAACAAAACCAGGGGGTGGGTGGAGACGGCTTTCTTTTCTCCCCTCCTGCTTCCAGCGGCCCCTTCCTCCCCCGATCTTCCTTCCTCTCAAGAACGCAGCTCTCCCAGACCTTTCTTTTAATTAGTGCAGGTACGGTCAGGTGCTGTGGGCGATGCCAAGGCATGGCCGTGTGTCTTAGGCACTTCAAGCTAGATGGAAAAACTAAAACATACAGAGGCTGTTCTGATTCGTTAGTGAACGGGAGAGTATGCACCTTGAGCTACTTGTACTGTCGCAGATGCGAGGGGCTTGTCTGTGACCCCTGTGAGCGTGGAGTCAGCTCCGCGCAGCCCCTAACTTAGAAGGCCCTTGTGCAGTGGCCAAACAGGGTCTCGGGCTGCCTCTGACGTCCCACCGGCTACTGCATCCCGAGTTCCTGCTCCCAAGGCTCAGCTCACACTGAGGCCTGGGATCTTCCTGTGACGCGGAGGGGCAAGGGGACTCTTCCAGGCTCGAGGCCAGGAATGCTGTCGGGAGACCCAGAGCCGTCTGCCTGTCACAGGACCACGGTCCTATTGTAAGTGCCTCCCTCCCATGACCTTGGGACTCATTTTAGCAGTGGACGTCATGACAGTGGTTTGGGTACCAGCTCCAACTCAATGCCACGTCATGGACTTCTGTGGACCGAGGGGTGCCGTGGGCCTGGCCCTGTTCTGTCACGGAAGGTTTTTACTGCTTGCCTATGTCCCTATTTCAAAGCCACAGCATGAAAATATCGCTAAAATTTTAACATCTGAATTGTATCTGTCATCTCTGCCTTCAGAGAATTTTTCAAATCCTCAAAGATTGGCATCTTTGAGCTTAAGCACGAGACCCCGAAGGAGCTGATCTCCAGAGCTGTGCAATCGCAGACCTCACGCTAACACGGCGACAACAAATGGCAACGGCAGAAGACGTTTCTGGGAGCAATCTGGTGACTGGGCGTTTGCCAAGATAGCGCCACCTGAACTTGAAGGAGGGTGGTTTCGGTTGATGCACTGCGGAGAGATACTTGCTGTTTTTGACCAAGATGCCAAGAAATGCGTTTTTTGAGCCAAGCCCCTACTCTCTTTTACCTTGGGGGTAGGAGACTCCGAAACCCATGTTACTGTCCTCAGTGAGAAATGCCCGACTTCTTTACCACGAATTCCTAAGACTTTCAGGAAGTGTAAGGGGGGCTTCTGTGGACTCGCTGGGCATCACCTCGGTCAGTATTTCTTGACGCCCTAACGGCCACAGGTAGTCTGATGGAAGGGGCGAGACTGCACCAAAACGTGGCAGGGTTTTCTGTAGTCGTGGGCCTGGAAGGCGACGAGGGAAGATTCAAATAGCCTGTGAGTGTCTTCAGGGGACTGATTTTGAGTTTCTGAAAGGGTGTTTCTTTGGCCATGACCTTGAAGATGCTGTCTACCTCCGTGCTGCCTCTGCATGTGGGCTGGCTGGGGGGCCGGAGCAGGAGGGGCGGTGGGGCCCTGTCCTCAGGCCCAGAAGGGGCTGGTTTCCCGGAGGAGGCCAGCATCTTCTCCCTCCATCCCTGGAGCACGAAGCAAGAACCAATGCAGCTCCTTGGTGGTCTCGGCCACATTCGATGAGAAGCTTCATGACCTCACAGGTTGTTGCTGGAATAACAACTGCTTCCTTCGATGAGGGGAAACTTCCTCCTCTGAATCATTTAAACAATTAGAGGGGATGATTCAGACGTCTGTTCTGAGATTCACTTCCATCATAGGTCTTTGACAGGTCACATTTCAGACTGAAGTTCCATGAAAATCCCTGACCTAGACCAGCACGCCTCAGCGCCCTTGGGCCCGGAACCAGCACCCTCTGGGTCAGCCGGAACACCCTCCCTCCGTGCCCCTTTTGTCTGTAGCAGGTCTCAGTCAGGGCTGTGAGTTGGCCATGCCAGGGAGACATGCCTGCCTATGTGCATGGGAGTACAGACCAACCTACCCGTGTGCATGGGAGTGCAGACGAGCCTGCCCGTGTGAACGGGAGTGCAGATGAACCTACCTGTGTGCACAAGAGTGTGGATGAGCCTGCCCGTGTGCACGGGAGTGAAGATGAACCTACCTGTGTGCACAAGAGTGTGGATGAGCCTGCCCGTGTGCACGGGAGTGCAGACGAGCCTACCCGTGTGCACAAGAGTGCAGATGAACCTACCCGTGTGCACCAGAGTGCAGACACGCTCACTCTCCTCCCTGCCCCGCACGCTGTTGAGGCTGATTTCGTATTCGGTCGCTGGGTGCAGCTTGGTGACGGTGAACTCTGTCACAGTGTTGGGCACCACGGAGCTGTCCAGCCGCCCCACTGAGGAGGAGCAGAAGCCACAGTCAGCATTCGGGGGAACCACATCGGCACAGCTCACGCTACAGTCTGAGAGGAGCTCCCGGGAGCGCCGGGTCAGGACGCACAGATGGGTGCGAGGATCAGCGCCCAGTGGGGACTGCGTCCTCCACCAAGGCCACGTGCACCACTAAGGACTGGCAGGATGCAGGCCAGGTCTGGCCAATGTCCTCTGACTCCTAACTCGGCCTGAGTGGCAGAAACAGGGCCACCGTCACTGCGGTCCCCTCCGAGTCTCCACCTGGTTCAGCCTGGTCTTCAGGTGTCTGCCCACCCCCCCCCCCAGCCCCCACCTAGGACCCTAGTCCTAGGCTTCGCTCGTTCAGGAACCTGCACATCACCCTGGCTCTTGGCAGATACTTTCAGGGCTCTTTGTGCCTCACGACACTGCCTAGGTGACTGTGACCCGTTCCCCCTGCCGGTGAGGGGCCTGCTTTCTGGGTGAATGTAACGAGACCCACCCACGCTCATTCTGATGGGACGTGCCACAGGGCGGAGAAAACGTGCAAGCGGGGTGACGCCCCCTGGGGTGCGCTGCCTCCCCCACAACAGCCTCTCCCAGCTCCAGACCCCACACATCGTGGGGAAACCGAGTGGCGTCCTTACCTTGCGTCGGCCGATAGGACACTCGGTAGTAATCAAAAGATGCGACAGGGGGGCTCCAGGAGACCACCACGGAGTCCTTGGTCACGTTGCTGATTGTGATGTCTTTGGGGGGATCGATCCCTACGAGGGACCCGGCGGTTGTGGGAACAGAGAGAAAGCAGGGGTGAGAAAGGAATCTCCACCCCTGGTGTCACGCGGACCAGGAGCCGGTGGCGTCCCAGGGACAGACAAGACCTTGCTGTGCACGGGCGCCCTGGACCCCATGGTCCGGCTGCAGTCCTCCCACCCCCTGCAACCCCGTAGGAAAGGCCCAAGCCACAGTCGTGGAGGACAGTTTAATGACGTGAAGTCACGCTGGCAGGCCCTGCACCTGTGCAGCCACGGTCACCTGCCGACGGCCACGGCCAGCTGCCGCCTTTCAGTCTGTTGTGTGTTCTGCTCGGAACTCGGAGAACCGTGGCCATGTCTCTTGGGCAAACCCAGCTCTCTCTCTCTCTCTGGTTTTTGTAGCTGCCCCTTTTGGTCCATTTGGAAGAACGGACTATTGACTGGAGAGGGATTTCAGAGCATAAGCCCAGAAAAAGTCCACTTTCCTAGACTGTGTTTCATGTTCGCTGTGTACTTCATTCTTTCTGTGACTGCTGGGGTATCACAGGATGGAAGCCAGGGGAGGGTTTAATCCCCTTGTCCAGCCGTGAGTCCTGCTCAGGCCGCAGCAAACCGGCCCACGCTCGTGTCCTCGCCCGCCTGCGTGCTCATATTTGGGAGTGTGTTTGGGACTGATGAGGTGAGCATGGGCCAATCCGTCTCATGGTGCCTGTGTTTCCCAAACAATACAGAAATCTCGAGAACGGGGTTGAGTTCTCAGAGTGCCAGGCCTCCCACGGTGGAACGCAAGTCCGTCTGATCCTCAGGAAGCACCCGCGGCACCGGTGACCTCGCTGAGCAGTCAAGAGCTGGCTCCCCGGAATAGAAGCAGAGGTCCCCTTAGTGGGGAAGGGTTTCCTTTCTGGAATGAGCTCCCTCCTGGGCTCTCTCCCCGGCTGCTGCAGGAGCACCCCTGGACCGACCCACCTAAGCCCTGTCTGTCTCCTCAAGGCACTGGCTGCATCCTGCCTTCTAAGTGGCAGTTTCCCACCTTGGGCACTTCGAGCAACTCTGGAGGGAGCGGCTTTTCCACAGCAGCTCACAGACCCCCTTCGGCTGCAGAGTGGGGCAGGCTCCTTCCTACTCCGTGGGTGTTTCACTGCGTGTGTTCCACGGGCTCGTCAAAGGCTCCAGGGGGACCCCCTCCCCACCTGCTGCCCAGCCCTCCGGCCTCACCTGTGGTGATGGAGCCCACGATGGGCTCAGAGGTCACGGTGCCATGGACTGCCACCAGGTTCACGATGTACTCGGTGGCCGGCTGCAGTCCCATCAGGACAGCGTGCCTCTTGGTGGCGTCCAGGGACACCTCTGTCATCTCATCCTCCTCGTCCCGGGGGCTGTAGTTCAGAATGAGTCTGTCTGCCGGGGGTGATGGGTCACTCCAGGTGATGTTCACGCTGGAGGAGGTCACGTGAGAAAAGTGCAGGTGCGAGATGGGGCGGAAGCCTGCAAGGCAGAGGAGAGGGGAGGCTCTGAAGCCCATGCAGGGGGCGGGGGCACTGATGAGGACCCCCCGCCCCCACTCCCAGCTAAGCCAGAGGTCCCACCCCCTCATGCTCCAGTCCTTAGCACACTGGGGCGGGGGGGTGGTAACTCCAGCATTACCTCCTAGTTATTTACAATACCGACCCTGGATTTAAAACCTGGGAGGAGTTTAACACGATCCCATGGATCTTCTGAACACCCCTGACTTGGCGCAGGTGGGGTCAGATGGGCAGAGCCAACCACTCCGCCTGGGCTGCACGGAAGCAGGTGCGTACTGTCAGGCCCGCGGGGAGCTTTGCTCCCCTCTCCCCTTCACCTCCAGCGGGTCCCTCTTGATGATTCATGAGTTTCTCCTCCATCTGTTCCTCCTCGGCCCGCACCCCTCCTTTCTCTAAGTGACGCGGGGCACGGGAAGAGGGGGCTTCCCGGGTGACCCACTCCCGCGGAGGTCTGTGGGCCCCTGAATGCAGCTGGGCTGCTGCCGCCCGGGTACCTGTGAAGGCGTCCACGGTGGACTCCAAGCTCTGCTGCCGACCCCTCTCGGCGGCGATCGAGATGATGTACTCCGCCCCGGGCTCCAGGTCGGTCAGGGTGTGCGTGCTCCTGTCCCTGGGCACGGTGACCTCGGAGGCGATCCCCGAGGACGGGGTGAAGATGATTCGGTAGTGGTCGATGGGGCCGCTGGCCTTGGTCCAGACGAGGGAGATGGAGGTCTCTGAGGAGGCCGTCACCGTGAGGTCCCGAGGGCTGTCCAGTTCTGCGGATAAGCACACGGAGCCCCCTTACCGCCTGCCGTGACGCCTAAGCTCTCAGCTGGCCCGCTGACCACGAGGATCAGCCCGGCAAGTGCCAACGCACCTCGCTCACGTCTCGTTGAGCACCTTTGAAGGGTGGCCAGGGCCCGGGCCAGCAGAGGTGCGGTCTGCAGAAAGGCTGCAGATGTTCAAGCTCTGCGATTGCACCGGCCCCCAGCCGTCCTCAGTAAGCCGATCGGGGCAGCACAGGAGCCACAGGCAGGGCTGTGCCGTTCCTGGCAACAGCGGCCACCTCTGTCTGCAGGTACAACCCGGGGCTTGCACCTCAGGCACTAGGGGGACTTTGAAATTTACCCGGGACTTGGAAGTAAGGCTGCTGGAGCCAGAGTCATAAAGATCTCAAGTGGACGTTTCCAGTGCCCTCAGGTTTCTCGGGTTGTTTCCACGCCTAGACCTGCGCCCTTCTGGCCTTTCTGAGGGCTTCTGTGGCACCCGGTGAGGGGCGGCCCACTCTGCCTGCTGTGGGGGGTGGTCTAGGAGAAATACGGCCCACTCTGGTGCCTGCCTGTTTGGGAGTTTCCACCTCTGCTCCGGACAGCGCTGGGCCCCCTCCTCGCCCATGGAGGGCCGTGCACAGCTGGCTGGGGGAGAGGGCGGGGCTCCGTCCTGGATGTCAGATGCCAGGGGTCAGACGCAGGGGCTCAAAGGGCTGCAGGTGGATGCTGTTCCCGCTGTGAGCTCTCGCCCAGGGACCTGCTCTCTGGGGCACAGACCTGGCCAGGACAAGCCTCCCGGCTCCCGGAGACCACGGGGTCTCCTGGCCTTCCGCACCGACTCGCCTACTCACCCGTCCTGGCATTCATGGTGGCTGGTATGCTTTGCTGCGAGTTCATGACAGCAGATATCCCAACGCCGTACTCGGTGCCCGGCACCAGATCTGTCGGTAGGCGCAGAAACGGGCGTTATTCTGAGTGTGTGTCTAGGGTGGGAAGGCCGAGAGGAGGGAAGCGAATGGTCTTAGCCTCCTGCTCAGCTCTCGTGTTTAGTCCTTCCTGAATCCCCCCGACTCTATCAGGAGGCCCCAAGTTCACCACGTAGGAAAGCCATGCCCAGCCAACAGGATGAACTGGCCAGTGCAGGGCCTCCTTCTGCTGTCGGTCTCCTTGCAGAGGCAGGGGGTCCCCTTGTCTGTGACCCTCAGAAGGGCGCCCTCCTGTGGATGGTGTTTCTGTGGCACGGCCGGCGAAGGGGCTCCTGGCCTGCGCTGTGCATGGGGGGGGGGGGTTGTGATCTACAGGGACCGTGTGGACACAGGCCTTTAGCGTGTGTCCGGGTGTTGCACGTGAGGACCAAGCTGCAGCTTTGGCACGGAGGCCCCGCGGGGACGCCCGGGTCTCTTCAAGAGAGTGACAGGGCGTGGTCTTTCTCTCTGAGCACGGGGCTGTCACGAGGGCTCCACCCTCAGGGCCTAGTCACTCCCCGAAGGGTCCATCCGCTGAACGTGGGATGGCTGTGACATCTGAGTTTGGGGGCAGGGGACAACAACACTCGGTCCGCAACACGTGGCCGTCTCCCCGTGTGTCTCCGCTCCCCGCTTCTCCTAAAGACACCGGTCACGGTGGACTTAGGGCCCCCCAACCCGTCATGACCCCATCCCATCTTAACTTGACTTCCTCTGTAAAGACCCCAATTTCAAATAAGGTCACATTCACAGGTTCCAGGGGAGGTGGGTTTTGTAGGGGACCCTTCAAACCAGTATACCCTCTTTTTATTTAAAAAAAAAAAAAACTAGGGCAAAGAGTAAGCCAGTGACCCACTGGAGATGACCCTTGGGCCTCTGGTCTCGGGGTTCAGGGCTTTCAGGATGACGAAACATCACACCCATCCCTGGAGCAGCTGTGACACCCTCGGCATCCCTGGGGTGTCTGGATGATTCTGGGAGGAAAGGCGAGGACGGGGCAAGGCTTCCTGAGCCAGCGGCTTGGTTGCACTCGTGCCGAGGGCAGCAGAAGCTGTGCACCGGCCCGCCCCTCGCCCGCCCACCGTGTGGACTCTGCACAGGCTCTGCAGCCAATGCCCCCACGCTCGAGCACGGCAGGACCTCCCAGGCCTCCCTGACCCGGCTTCCTGGCAGGAAAGCATCAGGATCAGCCTTTTCCCTCCCTCCAACCAGCCCCGCCCGTTCCCAGCCCCCAGCTCTTCCTCCGCAGGGGCAGGGCCGGCACTGCAGGCGGAGGTGAACCCTGAAGGCGGACAGAGTTGGAGGTCAGCCAGACCTCCCCTGGCATCCCGGCTCTGCCCCTCTCCACCTGTGTCCCTGTGACCACCCACTGTCTGGAGGAGGGGATGAATAACAGTGTCCGCCTCAGAGGGTCCCTGTGAGGGCGAAACGAACCAACGCGTGTCAAGTTCAGTGCCCGGCTCACCGCGGCAGTAGCCGCTCTTCTCGCTCGCTTGCTCAGAGAACCACTCCAAGACGCCGAGTCCCTTCCCCGGGTGCTCCCGGGCAGGTGCGGGTGGGCCCTCGGCACACCCGCTGTCCGTTTTCTGAGGCTTAGCCTGGTAGCGCTGATGAAACCCTCGACTCGGGGAGGCCGGGCGTCAGCGGGGAGCGGGCCCCTGGCAGGGCCGACACCTGGCGCCAGACTGACACGGTGACGGCAGCGCCCAGACCTGTTCGAAGCACACATCCGTCCCCGTCACGACTCCGAGGCACGTCCTCGGTGGGAGAAATTAGGTCACCTTTGGGACACAAACTGCTTTTTCCGGGCAACTGATTGAGACCTCCGATGGCCTACAATGAAGTAGAAATTCTGTGACCTACACGGAGGGTGACGGGTCGAGGGAGTAAGACGGAAATTATACGGTGCCGAGCGGACCTGACACGCACTGTTTTCATCCGAGTTTCTTATTTATGAAGCTTAAATGAAACGCTCAATAATTTACAGTGGAACCATCTTCCTGCAGAACGCCGTGGAGCGGAATTTCAAGTACCCCCTTCCCAGGCCTTCTGTCTGGGGAGCGGGGAGGCGGGGCCGGCTCTATAGGTCTCTCCGCCTGCCTCTTCCCTTTGATTTTCTGCAGCTCTCCTCCCGCTGCCCGCGTGGTCCGTGATTTTTGCCGGCAGGGGGAACGCAGCTCCGCCGAGGAAGGAAGGAAACGAGCATCTGAGGCGCGGGCAGCTCACTTCTGCCTGGGCACGCGGGGGGCTCCAAGGGATTTCTCGTGCCTTCAGCTTCTCCTGCTCTCTCTCAGTGCTGCCCTCCTCTCTCCTTCCAGCTCCCGCACGTGGGGCGCAGCCCTGGCTCTGCTCCCCGCCTCCACAGTGGCTCAGAAAACGCACCCCGGAGGGAGCCACCCGTCTCCGTCTCCTGTACCCCCTCCTCTGCTCCGCGTGGAGGTCGGCGCTGACCTCAGCCCTCGCTGCTCGCCCGTTCCTCTCCGAACTCCTGCGCACCCGGCGTGTTCCCTCGCCAGCGGTTACCGAGAGGCTCCTTGGGCCCGGCACGGGGCTATGAACTCGGGATACCAGGGGGAGGAGCTGAAGGGACAGCACCCTGTGCCCTTACCGAGATTTCAGAAGTCTGTACTGAAGGAGAAAGCTAATTACTCCGTGAGCACCTGTGTGGTGCTGAGCACGGGGCTGCGTGCCACGGGGAGTCGGGGACAGCAATGAAGACGAGCCCCGGCTGGCGTGGCTCGGTGCGCTGGGCATCGTCCCGCCAACCGAAAGGCTGTGGGTTTGGTTCCCGGTCAGGGCACATGCCTGGGGGACGTGATTGATCCTGTTAGGGCGCTTTTTGGGGGGCGACTGATCGATGTTTCTCTCTCTGTCTCTATCTAGCTTCCTCTCTCTCTGGAGTTAATGGGTATATCCTTGGATGAGCATTTTTTTAAAGATTTTATTTATTTATTTTTAGAGAGGGAAGGGAGGGAGAGAGAGAGAGAGAGAGAGAGAGAGAGAGAGAAACATCAATGTGTGGTTGCTGGGGGCCGTGGCCTGCAACCCAGGCATGTGCCCTGACTGGGAATCGAACCTGAGAAGCTTTGGTTCTCAGCCCGCGCTCAATCCACTGAGCTATGCCATCCAAGTGGATGAGCATTTTTTAAAAAATGAAAGAAAAACTGAAGAAGAAAGGGAGGGAAGGAGAGAGGGGTAGGAGTCGGAGGAGGGTTGCTGGGCGTCTGATGGTCAAGGACGTTGCTAATGTCTGCAGTCTCTGAGAGAGCCACACCTGCCAGCCCCTTCCTCGCCTCTGCAGCTCTGCTGGGGGGCGCTCCTGAGGGGCAAACTCAGGCCCCGAGAGGTCCCTTCCTTGGCCACGGTCATGAAGACGCTCATGTACAACAGAGAGATGGGGTTGGGACCCACGCCCTTTGTTCTTCCTGGCCCACCACAGCATGGTCCCCCACCCCTAAAACTCGTGCAGGCTGGAAGAGGGGAGTGGAGTGAGTCGACTGGGACTGGGGGGGTCCCTTTGGTGCTCCGCCAGGGGGTGCTGACTAAGAAACCGTTTCAGGAGTAGGGCTGTGATCCGCACAGGCTGAGGTGGCCGGAGACGGCTTTCTAGAGAAAGGACGAAATGGAAAAAGGGAGAGGGAGGCAGGTGTGGAGTTCTCCGGTGGTCAGGACGGGGCATGGTGAGCCGCAGGAACTAGCTAGTTCTCAGCAGCCACGCAAGGACCAAGGGACATAGAGGCAGGACAGCCGGCTTTCCCTGTGAGCAGGAAGCAGCAGGAGCCAGGGAAACGGGACTGCGGTCTCTTGCCTGCAAGAGCAGGAGGGAGAGGCCTGGAGACGGCAGGCTTGGCTGGGTGCAGGTGGGCGCGCAGAAACGTGCACTCTTTCCAGCTCTGGCCCCGGGCTCACCTCCTGCGCTCTGGGCCGCCCAAGCCTGCCGGACGGCGGTGGGGGGCCGGGTGGGCCCCAGTGCATCTGCAGGTCCCCTGCCCTCAAAGGCAGGACGGATCCCATCCCCCAAGGACTTCACAGCCGCTCTTTTAGTCTTTAGAGACATGATGTTATTCTATTTCAGTTTTCACGCTGGTCTCCTCACTAGACTCTCTTAGGTCTTTGGGTCCAGGGGTTCGATTCTTTTGTATTTTAATCCAGTATGCAGCCCAACGGAGAGATGTGCGTACACAGTGCAGAGACGCCGGGGCGGCCCGGGTGGGGGGATTGTCGGGGAGACCCCGGAGAAAGCGTGCCGGACCTGGGTTGGAAGGACCAGGCACGTTTGGTTGGAGAAGAGGGAGTACAACGTGCAGAGGCAGATCTGATAAAACAGTCTGTGACAAACCAGGGCCCCTCCTAGGGAGATTTCCAGCCGTGGAGTTTGGGTGCCAGAGGCTCCCAGGTGGGCACGTGTTTGGAGACGGGAATCTTCTGGAGTCGCACCAGAGAAGCAACCACCAACCCCCTATTCCATGCAGGGCAGGGCGAAGCCCCCAGGCTCCCCGTCCTGATCTCCATTGGGGGGGGAGGGGGGGCACTTCTCCCGCGTCCCCTGCACGAGGCAGGTCTCCCATGAGGCGGCGGGACTTCCTCAGAGGACCTCTCCCTGCCTTCTAAGCACTGGCGATGCTCAAGCACCAAGAGGAGCGGCCAGCGCCACGCTGACATTAAGGAAGGGACTGGCCCTGAAACCTGAATTTAAGAACCTTGGTACCGGTACCAAGGGATGCCCGTGAGGCCGCGGCTCTTCACCCCCGTCTGCGGGAACGCCCTGCCTCCGGCGGTCCCCTTGCCCCGGCCCTTTTCCACGCCGAACAAGGGGACGGACACCTTATGTGCCAGCTCTGGAGAGGACGAGGGCTGTGGACGCCCTCTTCCTCCTCTCTCCTGCCTGGGGCTCTGCAGCCCGTTCCCCACTGGCTGGTCCCTGGAAGGCGGGTGTCCGGTCAGAAGGTGCCTTACCAAAGTGACCACTTGGGGGCACTGTGACTTTGCCCACAGGAGGCCGAGCACCGTCTGGGCCCCGCCTGGGTGTCAAGCGCAACACCCGACTCCTCCTCCTCCGCAGAAGAGCCTGAAGGGGGGGCCCTGAGGGTCTGGCACCCCGGCTGGTGGGCTGGTGTCCGTGTTCGGGCCCTGGCACGTCAGGGGCAAGGGGCAGCCAGTGCCTCGCTCAGCCCTGATCTGCCACGTGGGCTCCTCCAGGAGTCTCGGGTTTCTCCATGGCGGCCCCTCCTGTGGACACGCGCATCTCCTGCCTTTGCCCCCTGGGGAGCCCACCTTCTGACCCCCAGACCCCCAGGAGAAGACGGGTTCGATAGCACCCTTCATTCCAGCAAGCAGAGGGGCAGATTGGAGGTGGCAACTCCCGCGGCCTGGCTGGGCCAGGTCCGGGCTTTCCTGTAATCCTGTGTCGTTCCGTGAGGTCTGGGTTTGCAGTCAGCGTCCTGCTGGTGAGGTCGTGGTGGTCACACGCAGACAGGGGCAGCTGGCTGGGAAGTGACCTCAGGGGGCACGCAGGTAGGCGCCCCATGGGCTGGGCCAGGGGTGTGATGACCGGCCCTGGGGCGCTGGGGTCAGCCCGTGCTCACTGGCCACTGACCGGGCCTGCCTCCCGCTGCCTCCCGCTACACGGTCCTCCAGTGGGGGCTCCTGGTCACGGGGGAGGACCGGGCAAGGGGGCGCCGACGGCTGAGGACGGACCCTTTTCCCTTCTTAACGCGGCAGCCACAGTCCTTTCCGATGGCAGGTTGGCGGGGCCACCGCAGAGGCCGAGGCCAGAGCAGGGCTCCCACTTCGCACCGGCCCCCGGCAGGTCCTTCTGACCACGTTCCAGCCAAGGACGGGAGTCTCCTCCCTCCCTCCCTCCCTCCCTCCCTCCACTTCATGGTCTGCCGTTTTGCATTGCTATCCAGAAAACAGCGGGCTGAGTGGCTGAGTCTAAAATAAAAAGACTTATTATCGAGGACACAGAAGCCACCAGAGTGAAGAAAAAACATCACTGCAGACGCGGAGCCTGGCGTTCAGAACAAACCCATACTCCGGAGGGGACTCGCTGGGCACCGCCTGGAGGGAGGGGCAGACAAGTCGTGTTGGCGTGTGGCGCCCCCGCCTGGCCTCCGTGTTGCCCGGGCTGAGGCCGGTGCAGGGGGAGGGGGGTGGGGGATGTGTGCTGTGAGCCCTCCGCGTGGCTCGGAGACCCCAGGAGTCGGGAAGGGCCTGCGGTCCGCAGCGAGGGGGTAAGCGGTGGCTGCGGAGACGGGGCTGCTGCCGGGAAGAGGAACCACGGGCGCCGGAGGACTTTCTGGGGGGGTCAGCAGCGAGAAGTGAGGGTGTGACCTTGCACCGGGGGAAGGCCAGGCCGCCACGGACCTGGCTCTGAGCTGCGTGGGGGTTAAAAACCACCCAAGGAGCAGTGGCCACTGAAGGTGCGCTGGGCGCCAGTCCCGCCCTAAGCGCCTGTGAACACAGACACGGACGGTTTCACTCCGTCCTCACCACGACCCCCTGAGGCAGGCACGGCGGCCTTCGGGCCAGGAACCTGAAGACGTTTATTTGCCTGGGGGCGCACGTCGGTGAGGTGGGCCTCAAACCCGAGCGGCTGCTCCCTGCACCCATGGGTGTACGCGCAGGCCCCCTCCCTGGGGCTCCTCCAGAACGCAGGCCCTGACTGGGTAGAGCTGGGGGGCGGGCCCCCTCCCCTCTCCCGAGACACGCGCCCTTGCTGCTCAGCAAGGGCCCCCACACCCCACGCCGTGGAGAAGGGAGCGAGGGTCCCCACTGCGCCACACCCGGAACCATCCGTCCCCACCACCAGCCTCAAGGGCGTGGTCTGCTGCCTCAGAGGTTCTCGGACTCCCTGAAGACACGAGCGCGTGAGAGCCTCTCTGGACGCTGGTGGCGTCCTCCCCATTTTCCAGGTGGTGAACCGGGTTTAGAAAGGTGACGTCGGTGGCCCCGAGTCACCGCCGGATGCGGCGTCCCGGGTGCCGGCCCTCGCCACGTTCCCCCGAGCAACACGTTCCGTGAAAACTGGGGCGACAGAGGGAGACCCTCTGCGGGGAGCCCCGACTCCTTCTGACAAAGGGACAGGGAGGGTGCAGGTGGGGGCCGGAGGGATTGCTGCAGGTGAGCTCGCCCTGCCCTTCCCACCCCCGGGCCGGCGTCTCGTCCTACAGATGCAAGTAGCGTGTTGGGAACCAGAAACGAGCGGGAGCTGGGGCGGGGGGGAGGGGGCGGCTGATAATCTCTGGTCTTCAGCATCCAATGTGGGGAGTGGGCGCAAATCCACAGCCGTTCGGGGCTCGGATGAAGCTTCTCCCTCATTTTGCCTCCCCCCCCCCGCCCCCCGCCACGGCCCGCCCTCCTGTTTCCCCAGAGGCCCCTGCGAGAGAGCCAACAGCCCTTGTAATTTGCATTTCAGCAAGTACAGACATACTTGATTTCCTTCTCTGCCCATAAACTCTTCCTAAGTCACATAAAGCCATTTGCCTTTATAAACCTCCCCAGCAGTGAGCTCCCTGGAATAATTATGAGTAATATATATTTGTAGGTTAATCTCATCAGCACGACTCTAATCAGAAAAATCGACCTCTCCAAGCCCATTCCTCGATAATCATTTCTCCTTCCCTCGTGAGTCCGCGGCGTGGACGTCTGGGCTCCCTGAGCAGGGCGCAGCCGTGGAAGGGCGAGGCTCGTGGCTGGGAGTCAGGGCTGCCTCCGAGCGGCCGCCGCGCCCCCGGCTGGTCTGTGAGCCCGGGCGAGCTTCCCAGCACCCTGAGGCTCAGCATCCGCACCCACGAAATGAAGGTGCTGCCTCCCCCCACGAGGCTGTGCCAGTGAAGTGAGCCGTGACGCCCTGGAGGTGTCTGGAGGAACGAGGGTGATCGACGGAGGCGGAGTCTTTTCCCCCTGGTCGAAGGGGACCGTGGCTAGGACGTGACTGCGTGCTTCTCGACGTCTCTCGGGCGTGTGTGGGGCATCCGCCATCCAGCAACTAGCCGTCATCCTTGGAAACCGCTAATCACCAGATCAGCCCGAGGCTCTGGGCAGGGCCGGGCCGTGCCTGGAGTCAGCTCCCTCCTGTGTCATTTCAGCTTTGTGGTTCAGCTTCATTTCTGTGGGTGTCTCCAGCACTCTGGAAAGGCCCCTCCGCCAACTGGTCCGTCCTTGCTACATCTCATTCACCCCCATTCACCTGCCTGGTCGGCATATCTTTTCATCTCCTGGCTGTGTTTTCAGGAGCGCGTCTGCCCGGAGAAAGGCATTTATTATGTTTACTTTAACTGGCCTCATTTGGCAAGGCGGTCTGGGATCTCAGCGCAGGAGGACAACAGCTCTGATTGCCGTGCCCTTGTTTACCGGAGGAACTCTTCGCTGCGTGTCCCTGGTCTGCGAAGACGGCAGATGCTTCTGCGGGAGCCAGGACACAGCAGCCGGTCTCTGCGCGGCAGCCGGGGCCTCTGTATCCCCGCACTGCCCCGCACTGCCAGTCCTGGGCTCTCAGGGAAGTCCGCCAGGCAGGTCTTGGGGGGGGTGTCTGAGCCCCTGGAGGGGCACTGTCTGGGCTCCTGTCCCCATGGGGACAGGGCATGCTCCCAGCTGGGCATCATGGTGACCTTGACCATCGTCTTAGAGCACGGCACTGTCATCTCTCACATTGACTCCAGTACAGCCTGGTGACCAATCTCTGCCTCTGGCCTTGACCCCTCGCCCCTTCCCCACTGCAGCTACGCAAACCTAGGGGTTGCGTCCCCTTCTTTAAAATCCCTCAACGGCCCCCACTCCCACTCTGCATAGGGTGTGGAAGGCCTGCCCGTGCTCTCACCTTGTCACTGCCTTTTGTCACCCATGCCCCAGTCACAGTGAACATGCACAGCTCCGTCCCTCCGTCCCTCCATCCCGCCATCCCCCCATCCCTTCACTGCTGACCTAGAACCTAGTAAGTGCTAGGCACTGTGCCGGACACTGGGGAGCCAGTGATGAGCAGAAGCAACCATGGTCCACCCCCAACAGAGCTTTCGGTTGAGGGCGGACGGTGACAACTGGACCATCCCACCACGAGTGTGCAATGACAAAGTGAGGGGTGCTGGGAGGAGGGTGGTACCCAGGGAGGTGAGTCTGCAGGACAGACGACCTGACTTTGTCTGGGGGCCAGGCAGGCTCCCCAAAGGGACGAGGGAACCGAGAGCTGAGAGGCAAGCAGACGTAACTCACGAAGAGGGTGGTAGGTGAGCCCGAGACGCAGCAGGAACCACACGGAAGGCCCACTGCCACCAGAGGGGAAGGTGTTTGAGGGACAGAGAGAGGGGTGCCTGTGGGCCTGGACCCCGGGGAGTGCCAGGGCACTCGGGAGGGATGACGGGAGGGAGACCAGGCAGGGCCGTACAGGAGCCCGCTGCAGCCTGGGGTTTATCCCAAGAGCAGCGGGGTCCCTGAAACGCAGGCGCGTGGGATGGCGTGATGACACATGTAAGACAGGACGCGGCAGTAGCTTAGGCTGGCTGCCGGCATGCAGTGGAGAGCCGCAGACGTACATGGTGTGGCAGGTGCTCGAGAGGTGAAATCAGCGGCATCAGCGGGGGTCGGAGGAGGGGCAGGCGGGCTGGGGAGAGCGCCGTGAGGGGGCGGGCTCCGGAGCGGGGGCTCACTCACCGGCGAGGGTGGCTCTGGTGGTCGGGCCCATGCCCTCGGGCACCAGCAGTTCGTGGTACTGCTCGCCTGCCAGGGTGCTGTACACGACCTTGTACTGCTGGACCTCCGCCTCACTGTTGTCCCACTCGAGGTCAAGGCTGGTTGCGGTGCGGGAGCCGACCCGCAGGTTCTTGGGGGCGTCAATCTCTACAAAGAGTCAGGCATCACCAAGGTCACCTGGGGTGGCGTGCGTTCTGCGCGCGTCTGGAACCCGAACGCGCTCTGCGGTGACAGCCCCCACCTCCTGACACTCGGCCTCACGTGTGAGGCAGACCCCGGGGGCAGCCCCTCAGCCGGGTCGGCCAGGGCAGGCCCGCGAGCAGCCTGGAGAGTTTTACTCGGGAGCTAGACACCCACACGTTCCCTCTTCCCCCGTGTCGTGCGGAATTTCCAGCCGTGTTCTAGAAATGTAAACGGAACCCTTTGTCTCATAAGCTTGCAGCTAAGCAGGGAGAACCCCAGTAGGAGAAAATCAGAGACCGTGTGCCCAGGACTGAGTCGGGCTAGCGTGACGTCGAACCTGACCTCGGGCCCGAGGAAGACGGCCGAGGGCGAGGGTGAGAGGCGGCCTTCCCCGGGCTCACCCGCACAGACGCTGCTGGGAGGTCTGCAGGTTGGAAAACGCTCTAGACTGGTGCTGGCAAAAGCAGGTTTATACCTTTTTGTATGGAAAAATATATCATGCAAGAATAAATAACAACATAAGTGTAAACGGTTTCATGGGACGTGGTAGAAAGCCTGTGGGCTTTGGAGCCAGGCCCCAGCTTGAGCCCCGGCTCTGCCACTCGCTGTAGGGGGACCGAGGGCGAGTCTTGTCCCCTCCCTGGGCCTGGACGGCCACGTCTGTGAAATGGGCTAATAAACCTGACATGGTAGGGGGTTGTCGCACAGATCAGACAATGCAAGTGCAGTGCACGGCGTGGTGCCTGGTGGGAAAATAGGTGCCCGAGCCCCGGGCGGACTCTCTGTTGCCGCCAGAGCTCTTTCCGGTCCCGACAACACGCTTGCTCTCTGGGGCCCGGCGTGTCCTGCGCCGCGAGGAGACGGGCACCACTGCGGCCTCTCACAACCCCGGGGGCTGCGTCTCCCTCCCAGGACCGGTCATCTGAGGCTCACTTTGGCAGAAAGAGCACAGACAACTTACAGGGTTACCAGGTAATAGGCACTGTCAAACAACAACAACAACAACAACAACAGCAGCAGCAGCAACAACAATGACCCGGAAACCAAAAATCCCTGCCACCTACAAAGTTCTAAACAGGTCTTGTCTTTGAGACTGGCATTTAACCTGGGAGGGGCCCGTTGTCTGTGCTGAGGGGACCGGGCATGCGCTGCTTTGACGTGCGGGCGCCGGGCCAGTGTCCCCCAGCTGCTCCCGGGGAGGACGTGGGCGCGTGCCTCCCTCTGCGAGCAGCTGCTGGGGGCGACGAGGGCTCCCTTCAGTGATGTGAACTGGGCGAACCTTCAGGCAGACGTGTGTGTCTGCAGCCTCTTTCCCCGAGGACGGCGCCTCCCTCAGTGTGGCTTCAGCCTCGGGGACGTGCGTGGGTGTTGCTCTTCCGGCACGCGGGTGGAGAGAGGGGCTGGGACCGGGAGGCGCGTGGGAGGGCCACTCCGCACAGCGGGTGCTACTGGGTCTCCCGCCAGAGGATGGGCTGGGGTGAGGCTCTGCCCTGGGCTCGGGGCTCTGTGGCCTGCCCGGGACCGGAGGCAGAGCGAGTTAGGGCTGTGGCTACGGCGGGGTCCGGCACCGGCTCTTCAAAAACCCCAGACCTTGGAAATAACGGTTTTCATTTTCCAGTTGTTTTGTTCGCTTGTTTTTGTTTTGTTTTGCCCGAAGGCCCATGCCCTACATATGAACAGGGGGCAGTGTTTTCTTTGAAGGGACCCGACATTCCCAGTGTTCCTGATGCCAGAAGAGGTCACGCCCGGGGATGAGGGCTTGTTGGGGGGGCCGGGGTGGGGGCCTGTGGCTGGGTGGGGTGAAACGGTCTGAAGCCTGACCTCTGGGAGGGGCAGCGGGAAGGCACCCCTCTGGGGGCGAGCTGGGCTGGTCCCGGCAACCTGTCGGCGATGCAAGGACCGATGTCCAGGGGGGGCCCCGTGGAGGAGCTTGGGGCTCTGGACTCTGGGAACAGCCATGTCTAGTCTCTAAACGACGAAGCAGGTTCAGCCGTTTTCCTGCTGGACACTTGCCTCTTGCTCCCTGTGACCGACTCCCGGGCGTGGGCCTGCTGGCTGTGCGTGGCCAGGCCCTGCCTGCCTCTCAGAGGCCACCGGCAGCGCTGGCGCTGCACTAGCTGGGCCCAGCTGCGCCGCCCTTGTCCCCGTCCCTGAAGCACATCAAGCCGATTCCCTCCTTCACCTCCTGGGAGGGGTGCTTCTGAGCTGCTCCCTCCACGTCCTCCGTTCCACTTCCCCGCATAGTGTTCACGCGCGACGTGGCCCTGCGTGTTTCTTTTCTTCCTCCTCGTCCCGTTCCCCCACAGGAAGGTCACTCGTAAGAACTGGGGTCTCGTCTATCTATCGTGTTTATTCCGGAGCCTCAGCGCGTACGCCGGGCAGTGAGTGGCGTCTGGCCGGTGTTCGGTGAGTGCCTGCATGCGCAGTGACTGAAAGGGCGCGGTCGGGTCTCTGTCAAGTCTGTGCCCCGAGAGCCCCCGGAGACGTCTGGCTAAAGGTCTCAGCGCGGGGCTCCCAGGGGTGCTCGGGATGCGGCGCTGCAGGGACACGAACGGCGTCGCTGAAACGCAGCCGGTCCTGGCTGGGAGGCAGGTGCCATCGAGTCTGAACGTGGAAGGGAGTCCCAGCGAGCAGTCACTGCGGACAAGGGGCGTGGCCCCAACGTGGCGACTTGGGCCTCCGTGTTAGTCTCCTAGGGCTGCCATGACAACCTACCGCAGACCCGGCGGCTGAGACAGTGGGAATGGGCTGTCCCGGGGACTAGAGGTCAGATCGGGAGCCGGCGGGGCCGTGTCCTCATGGGGCCCGTGTGGGGGAATCTGCGCGGAGCCTCTCACTGGTGGCTTGCTGGCCCCTCGGGCACTGGCTGGCTCGTCGAGAGTCACCCCAGTCCCTGCCTCACCTTCACAGGGCGCTCTCCCTGGATGCCGTCCATCTCTGGGCCCAGATCCCCCCTTTCTACAGGTACACAGTCGTCCTGGAATGAGGCTCATCCTAATGACTTCATCTGATCATCTGAGGCCCCCCGTGAAGGTCCTGAGGGCTAGGACTCTGACATCTCTGTGGGGAACACGATTCAACTCTGGACAGGCCTGGGACACTGGGGTTGAAGCAGCAGCCTCTGGCTGGCCAGACGCCCCCGTGGCTGCATCAGCCCCTCGAGGGACGGATGCTCGGACAGCAGGCCTCCCGCGGGCGCAGAGGGTCCCAGGAATTCCTTGAAACGAAAGCCAGGGCTGCCGTGGGACAGGGTGGGGCGGTCCCGCAGGGGCCGCTGGGTTTCCTCGGGCGGCTCTCCCTCTCCTGTCGGCCTTGGGGAGCTCCCGTCGGGGCTCCGCCTCCCCAGAGCAGCTCTAAGACCCCGGCAAACGTCCCGTCCCGCTCACCAGGCGGGAAGCCCATCTCCGTTTTAATTGCCTGTGCAATCAGGGCACGCCTGGTGCTGAGGCCCTCGCCTAGGAAAGCACTTCAGCTAATTTGAATTTGAGCGGAGTTCTGAAAGGACGGAGGCCCCACCTTGCGGGACCGGGCACTGCTCTGTTGCAGCCGGCACCTGCTACCCGGCCCCACCCCTGGCCTGGAAGGCTGGTGGGCAAAGCTGCTGGCAGGTCCCCACCCCCAACGCAGCCCCCTGCGCCTGGAGCAGAGTGGGGCAGGTGGGAGGCGCAGCTGCCCACCCCCCAGGCAGCTCGAACCAGGGCATCAGGAGGCAGTGAACCGAGCCCCAGGGGGAGCTTCCGGGGGGGCACGGAACGTGATCGTCTTGATTGGGGTTTTTCTGGGCCTCCAGCCAGTCCTGCCTCCATCGTGTCAACCTGGACATCGCACATTTGCTCTTCATCCGCTCCGCGCCTGGTCGAACTCCTCATCCGGGCAAAGCACAAAGCAACCACTTTTCAAACAAAAACTACTTTAACGTTTAAACAGAAGGCGGCACCTGCGGCCCACAGGGGACCCCACACCCTGAGTGGGCGGAGTTGCAGGGCTGGGCCTTGAAATCACCACGGGCGGACACTGTGAGAGGTTGTGCCCCACGCCGGGCCCTGAACGGGCCGGGCCAGGCGGGAGAGGAGAAGGGAAGGCAGTGGGCAGAGTTCAGTCCCCTTGTCTGAAGGGTGTGTGCTCAGCCACCGGGCTGCCAGGGCATGCATGTTCAGTGCCCAGTCTGCCCCGCGCCCTGGGTGGGGGGTGGAGTCCGGGCCCGGGGCTGGAGAGGAGCCCCGAGGGGGTGTCTGTCGGAACCAGGCCCTGCCTCACCCTTTGTCCACGTCCACACTCACTCCTTTTAAGGGGGAAGCCCGTTCCCATTCCCGGTGTTCCTTCTGTGTGTGTGTATGTGTGTGTGTGTGTGTGTGTGTGTGTGTTGGGGGGGAAGCCCCATGATAAGACTCCGGGCCTTGGTCTGTCTTACACCCAAGAGGATGTAGCTTGGTGGTGAGTTTTTCAGCGGGACCTGGGCGTGGCCCTCCTGGTCCCCTCTCTTGGGGTGGGGCGCTGCCCCCAGGAGCCGGGCCTCTGCTTCCTCCTCTGTGCTGCACGTCCAAACCTGAGCAGCCCTCTCACTTCCGCCGCAGGGGGGCTTGCCCAGGCCCACAGGGCGTCGGTCTGCAAGCCTGCCTGGCTCTAACGCTCAGCCCCATGCTGCAGCCCAGGGGGCGACATTTTGGCCTCCATCTGCCCTACTCTTTGCCTTAGTAAACGCAGGCAGAGGGTGGGGTGCTGCGTACCATACCTCCCGCCACTCTGCAGCGGGCTCTTAGCTCCAAGCCCAGGCAGGACGCTTGGATGAGAGATTCCCCTGGAACAGTCCCCATCGGGAGACGCTGGTCCTTAGCTCTAGCAGACGCCAGCGGCTTCCCTGCATCCCCGGGACAGCGGGGAGCAGGCAGAGACAGTACCCAGTATGGGACCTCGCCAGGGCAGCGGGGCTGAGACTGAGAATCTGGGTTCGATGGAGACTCACAGTCTGAACACAGGCCCCTGCGGACCCAGCCCGAGTGCTGGGAAGTCTGCCTTCGGGCGGTGCCCGTCCCGTTTGCCCACCAGCTGGCTGGCCGTGGGCTCCGAGGGTCGGGGAGCAGGTGCCCGTGCGGCCTGGCTGTTCCCGACTGTCGGTGAAGCTCCTGAGGAGTCCCGACAGCCGTGGGGGTTGGGGGCGGTCGTTATGACCAGACAGGCGACACCGGCGTGGGCTCCATCCAGCCTGCTGGCTGCGGGAGCCAGGCGTCCCATTAGCCTTTGAGACTGTGCTTACAAAGGGCCACAAGAGTCCCAGAAGCTCAGGCGGAGCCGGCTGCCAGGGTCCAGGCAGGGCTCCGTGCAAATCCAAGGGGTGCCATCGCGGTACAGCCACCACGATGGATTTGCAGAGTTATTGCAGCCATTTCTGCAAACAGCAATAGACACTCCTCTCCCCAGAACTCTCCCCAAGTTGCCATTTGGGCTCGTAATATGGATGAGTAAACGTCTTCGAGACAAAGCTTTCATTTTACAAACGGGAACACTGGGAGCGTGGGGCGAGGCTCGGGCCGGGCCACCAGCCTGGCCGGTGACGGGAGTGCACAGGAACGTGTGCTCCGAGGCCAGGCGCGTCCCTCTACTGGGCTGCAGCGTCCGCGGGGGCCCTGGGGCCTCTCGCTCCTTGCAGCACCTGGGCTGACGTGGCTGCCCCAGCGCGTGTCACCTCGCTCCCGGACACCCCTCTGGCCCCAGCCGCACCACCGCCAGCTGGCTCCTCCCCCGCCCCTCTGCGCATGGCAGCCTCACCTGTCGTGAACTGGGTGGTCGTGGCCTTGCTCTCGTTGGCCCCACGGATGGCGCTGGCCCACACCTGGTAGCGGGAGCCGGGCCGCAGGGCCTGCACTGAGTACTGGCTCAGCGGGGGCTGCAGCCGGAAGGTGGTCTTCCCGCCTTCCCCGCCCTCCAAGCCGTACTTCAGGAGGATGAAGTCGACTTTGGCCCGAGGGGGAGTCCACTCCACGAAGGCCACGGTGTCAGAGACATCTCGCACCAGGATCTGCGTGGGCCCATCGATGACTGAAAGGGAGGGTCAGACAGAAACGGGCGTTGGAGTGATGAGCCTCTGACATCCGTGCTCTCCCTCCTGCTTCCACTGGCCTGGCCGGTCTGGGAGCGGATGCACGTTATTGCCCCATTTCACAGATGGGGAAACGGAGGCAGAGGAAGAAGAAAGCTCTTTCCCAAAGACACGGTTTGGCCAAGGGGTGACTGGCCCTGGAACCCAGGGCTCCTGAGCTTCGCTGTGACCGGGCTGTGGTTTTCCAGTCCTGGCCCTCCCAATTTGGGTGGCGGGGGCTGGGGGGCACTTCCTGGCTTGAGGGGGCCGGCGCTGCTTCTGTCTGCAGATCAAGGGACAGAGCACTGAGACCCGAGCTTCTGGCCTGAGCCCCAGTGCCCAGCTCTGAGGAAAGACCTACGAGTCATCAGCCTATCTGAACACCGGGGACGGCCAGCTTGGCTGCCCCACAGGACATTGTGAGAATCCCAAAGGGGTCCCTGCTTGGCGGTACGAACAGCTCAGTCATCCCAGCTGCCGGGACACTCCCAACACCTGACAGGCATTTGCATTTACGGCATGCAATGTGCCTTCTGGGGAAACTCGCTCTTCTAAAACAAAAAGAAAGACCTCAGTTTTGGAGCAGTCTCTGTTTCCCCACCTGTTCTTGGAGATTCCCGAGCCAGAAGGACCCTGCGGTCACACCCGGTCCCTCTGAGCCACTCAGCACGTGGCCCTCCTGAGCCCTGGCCTCTGGCACGAAGCAGCGGAGGGGACATCGTTGTGGAATGGTGTGACGCTAGGAAACCTGGCTGGTTTCATGGGGGGCCCCCATTCGTGGGTCCTGCACCCCCTTGGGACCCTGTTCCCGTGGAATTAGAGGGTGCGGGTGGGGCGAGGCGAGAGAGTGTAGACGGAAACCAGGAGGAGAAGGGACTCGGTGAGGAGGACGGGCACTGGTCTTCTCCACCCGTGGTATGCTGCCTGGCCCGCGCACCCTTCTCGAACGACCACTCATCCTCCTACAAAGGTGGGCCCGGTCTGCATGTTTACGTTTATTCCGTGACTGCAGCTTTCTGGCTGGAGCGGATTCATATGAATCTTCTTCAAGGATGTGGAATGAGAACCAGGGACTCCGGCTCCCTGGTGAGCTGAACTTGGGCCATGAGAGTGGCTGTGGCCATTCTCCACAGTGTTCACACATCAATGGCAAATGAGAGAGAGAGGGAGTCGGGAAGAGGAGAGAGGGAAGGGGGTTGGGAGGTGATGGCAAGGGGTCCCGGCCATGTGATCAGGGGGTTGCACCTTCAGCCCCAGCCTTGACCGACGGTCAGTCGATCAGTGGGGCCTGTGTACCGAAGCCTTCAGACAAACCCCGAAGGACTGGGTTCGGGGAGCTTCCGCATGCCCCTGTGTCAGCCACGTCCGAACTCCACCAGGACAGAGGCTCCTTGGACCGGGACCTCTGCCTCCGTGTCTCTTCATCTGGCTGTCGATTTGTGTCCTTTAATAATGTCCTTTGTAACGAACCGGTGATCTAGTGAGCACATGGGTTTCCCAAGCTCTGTGAGCTGCTCTGGCACATTAACTGAACCCAGAGAGGGGGGGCCGTGGGGCCCTCCAACCTGTAGCCGGTCACTCAGAAGCACAGGTGACTTCCGACGGCCGTCTGACGTGGAGGACAGTCTCGCGGGACCGAGCCCCCAGCCCGCTGGGTCTGCCGCTCTCTCTGGGGAGGGTGTCAGAACCCAGGTGGATTGTGGGACACCCGGCTAATGTCGCAGAGAACTGCTTGGGGTGGGGAGTCCCCTCTCTCCCCGACTGGAGCTGGGGACAGACTTTTAGGAGCAAATATACAGAGAGAAGCAGAAATGGGTGACTTTGTGGAGCTTTTAGACAGAGAGAGTAATGCGATTCCTGACTTTCCGTTTTTCTGGTTCAAGTCTTTAGGGAGCTCAGATGCATTTCTGGCCCCGGGGGTTCCCTGAGAGGCTGCCCTTCCAGTAAATTTTCTCTTCTGCTTCAGCTGGTAAAGAAAGATTTCTTCCCTGTTACCAGAGTCTTGACTAAGACCGACTTTGGAGTCAGTCCGCCCTGGACCGCCTCCTGCTGTCTCCAGAGTGGAGTGCCTTCCAGAGCGGTCTCAGCCTGACCTTGAACTTCTCAATGTTGCCCAGTTGGGCCTTTCCCAGGTCACCCCACCTTTTTTCTGGGTCTAGCCCAGGCCTGTTCTCTATTAAGCAGCTTAGGATTTGGGGTCTAGTGCCAGCCAGAATGAAAATCACCGGACCATTTTGGTGCCACCTGGTTTGAAGTTGGAATCGAAGTTTGTTTTTCCTATTTGGGTCAATCATGTGATTGAACAGAACACATCCAGATGTTTCCAGCGTGCTGTATTTAGTGGTTTTCGATAACTCGGGCCTTTTTAAATTTTGTTGAATTTGATCATGAGCTAGGGAAATGGTCTCCTAGCTGCTGTGTAAGCATAATGCCTGGAACAGGTAGACACTCAATAAATGGGTGTTTGATAAGTGGGAGGAGTGGATGATCCTCTCTCTCCAGGAGAAGGAACTGAAGTTCTCCTTGCGGGGGTGGTGGGGGGGAGATGTCACAGAAACTCAGGTGACCTTGTGAGGCTTTTATCCTGCAACCCTTCTCATCCCCCAAACCCCAGTCTTAATGCATTGCCCCTGTTAGAAGGTGATGGGGCGCCAGAGTGCTGTCACTGCAGGAGGTCTTGTAATTTGCATTCCCCAAATGACCTGCGGGGAAGAAGCCAGTTGGAGGGCCAATGAGGAGGCAGGACTTCGCAGGAGGGGGCTAGTGTAGGTCAGACCTTCGCAGGAGGAAATAATTAAACAATCATTGTCTAAAAATAGCAGGCAGCGTTGGGGAGCCAACGGTATTTTCTGTGGCCGCGCTGGGATTCGGTCTTTCCTTGGCCGCTTGGTTGAGCTATCTCATTCCAGCCGGGAGGTGTCAGCTCGCCTCCCCTTGGCCCCGACGTCTAAACAAACACAAGTCCCGCCCGCAAAGTGAGCTGGAATGAACAGTCTTCCTAGCGTTTCTTTTCATGGCTCTGTACACAAAGCCAAAATATCAACTAGGACATTTTTTTCTGAACTGGAAAAACACTCTCCCTTGCTTTACCACACATTTCTAGATCTGGAACTTGGAATTGTTCACCTCAAGAAATTTCCAAACCTCCCAAATCCTGCAGACTTTGTAAAAATGTGGTCTTAGAGGAAGACCGAGGGTTGGACCGTCTTCCGTGCGTGCGGCCAGCCGTCTGGACGGAAAGCGCTCTGCAACCGCGATGCTCTCCTGCGCCCCCCACGGCCCCGCCTTGGGCCACCTCCTCCCTGCAGTCTGTGGTCTGCTGCCGGTCCTCCTCCGCTGTCCAGTCTCGGGGACGGCCGGGGGCCCTGACACGCTCCACGCCAGAGAGGAGAATCCACGCTCCTCAGGAAAGACCAGCTCTTCGGGCTGCAGGTGACCTTGGGGAACTCTGGCCCGCAGCACCTGGGCGACCCCCACAGAGCCCTTCCAGGTTTCGTGGCTGTGGACTCTCTTCTCGAACATATCTGGATTAGAACACTGGTTGAAAAGCCTCTTTTGGGGGGAAGGAGAGTCCCCTTCTCAAAGCACAAGCTCTCGACAGACCGACCGGCTGTAGAAAATGTAGAGCAGATGAGGATGAGGCCGCCTGGGTCACAGGGGTGATGGGTGCGGGGCGGGGGCGGTGCGAGCAGTTCCTGGTGGCCGGGCAGCCGCGTCACCCTGGCCTCAGGGTGCCATGCGGAGGGGGCCCAAGGGCTCTAATGGAGCCTAATCAAATTCCAGAGTCGTTTCAAACCAGTGTTTTCTAGACAGAGCATCAGCCCCAGCGCCTGAGGCTGTTTAGTTTGGATCCAGGGAGCACAGCATGAGTCACTAACACATCCTGTCTCGTTTCGCGGCATCAGGGCTCCCTTTCGGGGCCAACTCGCCCTTCGTCCGGGGCCCGTGACCGGCTTTCTTCCATGTCGATTCTGTTTATAAAAACCGAAGCTATGCCAGGGCGCACCTGTCTTGTTCACGGACAGGGAAATGCTGCTTAACCTCCGCATCTCCGTTCCCCCATCCGTAATACGGGGGCCCCAGAGGATACCAGATGCTATGTATAGCTTTTGAAAACGGCCTGGTGAGGGCACACAGGTACGTATCATGTTTACTAATTCACCGCTTTCAAGCCGAGCAGCCTTTGCTAGCCGAGGAAATGCTACGGCAACACTCGGCACAGTTAACCAATCAAATGGGATGGTCTTGCATGAGATCAGCTGTGGGGAGGGCAAGACAGACTTCGGCGGTCCCCTGGAACAGTGGCCCGAGGCCTCCTGGCTGGTTTTTAATGACGAGTTTCCTGCGCTCGCCCTTCCGAGTGTGTTCTCGGAGCACAGTGGCCGTGCCAGGCACACACTCACTCTCATCAACACAGTGCGATGCCTTTCTGCGCTTCATCTGACCTAGTCCTCCTGCCGGCTCAGGGAAGGAGGCATTACTGCGCACCCCTGTGAAGTGGATGAAGGTTTGGGAAGGGTTGGATGCCTTTCTCCAAATCTCGCAGTGGGTCCCAAAGCTCACAGTACTTGGGGCTGACGAATGAGACCTCCCGACGAGTGAGTTTGGCAGCAACACGCTGGAAATCGTAACAGGATTTTCCCCGTGGAACACTCTCCCGGGTTGCTGTGCTTGCGAGGAGAAGCCAGCGGAGGACGTCCCGCCCAGCACCTGGGTCAGGAGCATCTCCATCTGCAGGCACCGAGGTCGTTCTCAGCTCTGGGAGACATCCTGGCACCCCCACGTCTCTCCAGCTCCGGGCAGGCCTGCAGCCCCTCCTCCCGAGGGGCCCAGGGGCACCTCCACCTGCGGAGGAAGGAGGATGGGAGGCACTCACCGGTGGAGACGCTGGCCGAGGTGGGGGGGCTCCGGGCCTGCTCCTTCAGAGCCACCACGTTGACGATGTACTCCTCCCCGGGCTTCAGGCCCGTCTGGTTGAAGGAGGTGACGTCGCTGGGGAGCTGGGCGATCACCCCTCCTTCGTTGTTCTGGGGGGTGGGGGGGAGGGGGGAGAAGAGAAAGCAAAAGGAAGTCACTGGGAGAGAAAGGTGTCGCACGCACTGCGTGTGCATCGTGCTTTAAACAGTCGGGCCGCTCCTCTTCCCTCCGTGAGGACAGCGAGCGCCTGGGGGCAGGGACGACCCCCAGCGGGCTCGGCGAGGGGCCACCTCTCTCAGGGGATTTGGCAGGTGGAGAAAATCAATTTTCAAGGACATTTCTTTGGCCTTTCCCAAGTCTGCTGAGTTTGCAGGTCAGCAGGCTGGCTCTTGCCAAAGATGGAACGTTTGATGGTTAGGGTTGGCATCTGTCAGACTTGGGGGCATTCGTCATGAGGTTGGAAGAGCCCTGGATGTGCGTAAACAGCTCTGTGCACACCCACGACACTCGCCAGACTAAGGCATTTCCAGGATTTTTTTTTTAAATGAGCCAGAGATATTATCTTATGTCTGGAGTTTCTCATGGTGTGACTCTGGGTGTGAATTCGTCAATGTGTGGTTTCCTCTTCATCCTAAGGAGCTAAGAGTCTGTGCCACAACCAACTGTAGGTGCAGGGAAAGGAAAAAGGCAGCATGGAACAGAAAATAATATGGAGGAGAGAGGAAGGAGACAAACTGGTGGGAGGGAAAGTAAGAAAGGTCAGTGCGATGATGTTGGGCCCCAGGTTCATTACCTGCCTGCCTCCCCGCCTGTCTGTCAGCACACACTTTCCGTGTGTGCCCCTGAAAGTGGCAGAGCAGGGAGGACTGTTCTGTGACACCGTCCTTCTCCCCTATTCTCTGGGCTCTCTTCAGGCTGCCTGGAGTGCCATGTACGAACTTCACAGCCACCCTCCCAGAAATCGGTATGGAAAGTGCGGCCCAGTGACCTCGACCTACAGATCACATTCATTTTATGCGGCCGTGTGTTTGACCTTGGCATGCCCTAGCCAGCCCTTATTTTTCACAGGTTGAATGTAAACCAGGCAAAGCTGGCATTGTGTTTTCTGCCTGGGCAGTGGGGTGCCACGATTTTTTCTGTGTTGTTATAAACCCACCTGCCCGCTACACTTCACCGGCTGTTTTAACACAAATAAGACAGTGGGTTAAGTATGGCATAGAATGTCACATAGATGTATTGAACTTGCGATGGTGTGATTGCACACGAGAGGGAGGTGCACCCTGGTACAGGGGACACAGCCTTGGAATAGGAAGTGGACACCAGGTTCCTGGATCAAGCCTGCCACCAACTAGCTGTCTCAGTTCAAGTTCACAGAGCCTTGTCTCTATAAACAATACAGATTGGATGTAAAATGGAGGGTCTACTCTGTGAACTTGAAGGTCTTCTGTAGCTCCAACGGCCCGTGCCTGTGAGAATGGCGGAATCACAGTCTTGTTAGCCAGGAATGTGTCGTGTACCATTAAGTCTGATGAATGACCGGACAAACGCTCCTTGATGTTGAAAGATGAAGCCGGAGCGGGGAGTGTGATTGGGCATCATGGCCCATGAGTCCTGGGGTTCGGAAGAATGTCAGCGGGCTTGGCCAGTCCCAGAAAACCTGCACGAGTCGGGGGGCCTCTGGCAGTTTGGGAGCGTTCGTTTTAGGGTTAAGAAAATAAAACACTGCTTTAGAGAATGGAAAGGAATCTTGGGATACTTTAACTCATAGAGACTAATCATGGAATCTGTTTAAGAAAAATCGTTCTCAATGAATGGGTTACAAAAGGTGCTTCTGTGGTGGGTCGTGCGCCTGTAGAGGCCGAGACCCCGCAAGCCGACCTCCGGTGCCTCCGCGGGCCCAGACTGAGGCTGTGGGCCGACCACATGGCTGGTTCAGGTGGGCTTTCCCTGTGGTCCCAAGACAACCCCGAGCTGTTGGAAGGTCTGGTATTCAGACTCACTAATGACCACAGTCCGGGAAACCTCAGAGCCTTCTGAGCACAGGGCTGGGCTGGTGTCTGCTTCCCAGGCTCAGGGTCATTCCTGCTGATTGTCCCCCGCCATGCCTTCCAGCCCAGCCAGCCACAGAATGCCCCGCTGTGTCCTCAGGGGTGGAGGGAGGCACTGGGTAGTGCCCTCCTCCCCGCTCCTGGCCCCACGGAGGGGGTGAACGTGCCCCAGAAGGCCGCTGGTTTAGTGGTCTGACAGGCGGGGCTACCTTTGGAATGAAGCTGATCTCCCAGCCATCGAAGGAGAAGGAGAAGGGCTCCCACTGCACCTCCACGGTGGTCTCCGTGATGGTCTTGAACTGCAGCCCTCTCGGAGTGGAGAGATCTGGAACACAGCAGTGGGGGCGACCACGTCATGGCGGTTGTACGGAAGTGTCACCGGGGCTCCGACCGGGTGTGCTCCCCATGCCGTGAGTGTGGTGGGCGATGCATCTGCTCCACATGGTGGTTCCCAGGGGCAGGGGCGGCCTGCTCCCTTGTGGCCTGGTGCCAAGTCTTGGAGGAATCCATGAGCCAAGGCAGCCCAATCTAATCAATACTTATGTTTTCTATTCCACAACACCTTATCATGAAAGTAGGAAAGTCGAGCCTTCCTCTCCTTCCTAAGGTGGTAGATCTCGGCATCGAACATAGTACCTTCTTCTGGGAACCTGAACGCTATCTTCGGAGGCCGCACGGATTCCTGAGAGGTGACAGGATGGCCAAGGTCGGCGTTCCCTTTCCACGCCCAGGAAGAGGGAGGCACCGAGTTGGCTGGAGGAGTAGAACCCGCCCACTTCAAAACAAAGGTGGGGATGCCTGCCTTAGCCCTCTGATGGACGGCGAGAGTGTTTCGTTCGCCCAAACCACCACGTGTAGGACGGCCTGAAATTGCCACGTCACGTCCACAAGCAAAGCACAGCCACACACCAAGGCCAGGGCAGATCCTGGGGTTTGGGCTCTTATTTGACCATCTCCTTCTCTCCAGCGGTTCCTCCATGATTTCTCCCTTCCCTCCCTCTCTCGCCTTTGCCTCCCTGCTCTCGTTTCCTTCCTCGCCTCCTCCCCCTCCTCCTCCCCCTCCGTGCATGCGCACACGCTCGCACAGGCACGGGCAGGGTCAGTGAGGTGGACGCTCGGTCGCCCTGACGTCCGCCGGCGTGGCTTTTCCCAGACCTGCGAGGCGCCTGCTTCCCACCGCGGCTTCGCCTCCGTCGGGATGTTCCCGCCGGGGAGCGAACAGACTCGCGTCCTTCCTGGGTGGAAGCCCTCTCCTGCTTCTGGGTGGAAAGGCAGGGCTGGTTCTGAGCCCACCTGAAGGCGTGCCAGGTGAGTTGACATGATTTTGTCCTTGTCACCTGGGAGTGTGCCTGAGGGGATGCCCGGACTTGGCATAAGAAACGCCACAGGAGACGGAAAACCTCGTCACCGCGGGGCAGGAGGGTCAGGGACGAGACACTTGGGAGTTGGGCCAGGCCCTTGCTGCGGTGACTCATCCCGGGGCAAGGGCAGGGGGACAGTGGCAGATGGTGACCTGCCTCTCCATAACCAGAGCAGGTATTTAAAACCAGTTCTCAGGCACCAGAGGAGTTAAAGAAAAAAAAAGGTCACATATAAACAGAGCTAATCACAGACATACCAACAAAGTCGGCATTCAGAGGAAGAGTCCGGTACGACCCCAGGATACATTATCACCGGAAAAGCGAGGGACAGGGTGACTTCTTAAGTCCTGTCCCCGCTGCCTGTCTCTATCCTGGCACCCTTCAAAGCTCAGTTCGAGTCCTTGCCAACTCCGGGAGAGCTTCCGGTCAATTCTTTCTGCAGTGACCTCCCCTTTTCCTGAATTCTCTCGGTATTTGTCACCCAAATACCATCTTGTCGTTTGAGAATGACACAAATCGGGCTCCAGCTTCTTATCTCATATTTAATGATAAGATTTTCCGACCCAGGGGCCTCTGGGTCACGGTCACTCCTTGTCCTGGTTCTCTGCTACTGCTACCACCTCTGTGGCATCATAAAGTACACATTTGGCCTTGGCTGCAGGTTCCTGGCACACTGCTCCTAGAACCCTCAGAACCTCTGGACTGGTAGGAGTATCTTCTGTATGATTGATTATAAGATACCCGGTAGCTGGGGCTCCTAGATAGCTGGTCTCTAGAAAAATCCAGGCATGGTTAGAGGCTTGGCACCTCCCAACCTCCATGCCCAAACCAATCATGCCTCCACAGTCGGCCCCCCCTAAGGAGCCCTGAACAACGGGGTTCAGAGAGCTTCCAGGCTGGGTGACACAGGGAGGTGCAGGGAGGTGGCATGGCCAGAGAGGGCGGGGAAGCTTCACGCTCCTCCCCCTACGTACCTTGCCCTACACGTCTCTTCATCTGGCTTCACCCTGAGTTGTATCCTTTATAATAAGCTGGTCAGTAAAGCGCTTTCCTGAGCTCTATGCACTGTTCTAATGAATCATCCAATCTAAGGAGGGGTTGTGGGAACCCCTTGAGTTTGTAGCCAGTGGGTCAGGAGACCCGGTGAGAACCCAGGACGTGGGGCCGGCACCCGGAGCGGGGGCAGGTCTCGGAGACTGAGGCCTGAAAGCATGGGGCCTGCTGCTACGTCAGAGCTGAACCGAACTGCAGGTTGCCCAGCGGGCGTCTGAGAGTAGCCGTGGTGTTGGGAAAAATGATCGAAGAATTCAGAGGCGCATAAAGAAAACAGTAACAGTGGCTTCCTGGCTCCTTCCCAGTCTACTCCCTAAAACAGTCAATGTTAATAGCTGGTATGTAATCATTTACAATTTTTCTGTGCTTAAATAAACCTATGCAATATAGATACACACCTATAGGAGTTTTTTCTTGTTAGAAATAAAAAAGAAAAATGTCCATTTCTTGTGGAGAGCAGTTTACTTGCTTCCTCTCTGTCTCTGTCCCAGTCTTGCTCTGTTTTCTCCCCAATGAATTTTTCTAAACCGTGTCCTAGAACCCCAATTTTATCATCACAATGGGCTGGCGAGCTATTTTGCTGAACAAATTATGCAAACTCTCTGAGAGAAGTGGGTATGGCCAGTTACGGCTTCAAATAAGATTCTTGCCCCTTACAAGGCCATCTATAACACGCCATGCAGAACGTGCTTATCACGTGTCCCCATGGTCAGGTCCCCTGGTTTGGGGTCTCTAACAGGAATCAGTCTTTATAATCCTCATCTCTCCTCGTCTTCCATCCAGACTCTGCCTTAGAATGGGTCAGGACTGAACAAGTAAAGGACTTGGAGTCCTTTGGCTCTGGTACGGGCAGAGCTGCCTGGGTGTGGAGACTCTGCATCGGAAGTGCCTTTTTGACGACGTGCCCTTTCCTAAGTGGGTCACATCAGGAGCCTGTCCCCCCCCCCGAGCGGTGACGATTGCAGGCGTCCCCGAGGAGTTAAGAAAAGACACTGCACACTCTCACGAATGCTCATGGTCTCATGGAGGAGGAGGACAGAACAATGAGGCAGGACGGGGAGATGGTACGTACGGGTGGCCACCTTGGCCGTGATGGGGAGGCTGAGGATGTTGCTAATGACAGCGTGGACGCTGATGTTGTAGGTGAGACCTGGCTCCAGCTCGGTGATGGTGACGCCACGCCACTCCCCGGGCACCCGCTGCTGGAGCTGGAGGCCCGCCGGGGCCGTCGGCTGGTAAGAGATCACATATTCCGTCACTGCCATCGGCCCGTCCCACGCCAGCGCAATGGACCTGTCGCTGATACCAGCCACTCGCAGGTCCTCTGGAGGGGCAGCTGCCGGGAGGCAACACACAGACAGCATGAGCTCAGAGGACTGCCTTCCCCGCCCGCGGCTCGCCCCGCTGCCTCCCCGCTCGCCCCACGCGCCTGTCTGGACGTTCTGCCCGGCCCCACGGCTCAGGCGATTCCTAAGGCCCTTGGGGGCGGCTTCCTGTCTTCTGTGCTCGGTTCTCCCGTCTCTAGGGGACCCAGCTCCTACGGACTCTCGGAAGCTGACTGTCAAATGCTTGGGAATTTTGCAAGACGGTAGTTAAACACGGCCGTTGTGACAGGTTACTGCATGTTGTGGAGTATGTTTATTGTGCACCCGAGTATTTGGCCCAAGCTTTCAGGAGAAAAATCTCTCATTTTGATTTTTCAATTCAATCATTTATTGTTATTTAGATACTTGTATTTTGTATTATAAAGGAGTTTTAGAATTTAGTTTAAACATTCGGATATCGTTATGCTTTCTAGAGTTAACACTTTTAATCCATAAGCAAAAATAAGAAAATTAAAAACATTTATCTAGACACGGAATTAGTACTACCCGTGTACTACCCATCCTTATTTTTGCCTTGGAAATTTAGGCAAAAACTGTGTATTATACACGGCAAAATACAGGTGACAGGTAAACTTAGAATTAAGTAAATTACACTAAAAACATACTCATAAATACTCAAAACTCATCACTTTCATATTATTTCACTACATTTTACTATTTTCTGTGGCCTTGAAGTAACCCACACCTGCTGTCTCTCTCTGGTAGAAACGCTGACTAGCTGTGTCCGTCTGCACAGGGCCCCGCCCACCCCGCGTGTGGTGACGTCACGTTGGCAGTTTGAACCTGGCCTCGGGGGGAGTGTTTACACCATGGAAATTGGCGAGTGCTGCAAAGCAAGGCTTTTTATTTTTTCCTTCAGCGAGCTAGTTATTAGATAGTAGCATACCAGTGGCCAGAATTTTTGGTAGTTTAATAAACTGTCACCAGATTACCCTGGAAGACAATATTTGATTTTGCAGGAGGAAATAAAGGCCTGTTTCCGGTTATCTGGCAGAATATAAGACACCAAAACAATAAGCCCTGGATATCACGGACTGCTAAAGCCACTCAATACTGCCTTGTTGGATCCTTTTCTCTGTTAAAAAGAGGCTTGAAGTTTTGAAAGAAGTGTAACTTGTACGAAACTGGTTTAATTAGCCTTGATCTTGGGGATGATGATAAAGAAGCATTCTTGATGGTATTGCTTTTCTTTCTTGTTCAACTGCTATTTAAAGAATCACCAAAGATTAGACCTCAGTGAAATGGTCTTTCATGTATGGTCCTCTTGGGAAGGGAAGATCCAGCCAGGAGTGTGGTATCAAATCATTGAACCTTTAAGACCAATTAGGAGGCTAAGTCCCGGGCGCCTGTAATTGGATCTGCCCACAGATGGAATCAGAGATTGGGCCAATAGTTAAATAGTCATAATTAACTTATAAATTTATATGCAGGGGGAGGCTTCAGCTAGTTTAAGAGTTGCCACTGGTTTTGAATTTCTCCTCTGAGAATTTTCTCTTTTAATTTTTACAGGCGCGTGGGATGGAGCCAGCTGCTGGCCACAGGCCCACTCTCCAAGAGTGCCTGGCCCTCCGTGGGGCTCACGCATGCACCCCCAGGTCCTCAGCAGCGGCAGCCAGGAGGGGCCCGGACTCTGAGGGAGGAAATTAAGACCACGTGTTTGCAACACTGGGCACTGGCTTCGATTTCTTTGCCCCAAAGTGCTCATTGTGGAAAACAGTCTAGACAGCAGAGCTTCCGGAGATGGCAGATGTTGACCGAAACAAAACATTAAACATTTACTGTTTACATGTATAAGGCTAAGGAAACGTAAATTAAATTTAAATAATTAAACTCTCCGATGGTAATGTAGGAGCACACGTCATTCCTAATTCTGACGTTATCTGTGTCTGAGCTGCACTGGGGTGCGGGGGGACACTCGGTGTGGTTCCTGCAGAGCCACTCCGGGGCCGAGGGGAGCTGAGCTGAGCTGAGCTGAGCTGCAGAACCGTGAGAGCAGTTCGCACGGTCGCAGGAGGCCCTTACTCGGTGCCCGGCACCACGCTGAACACTCTGCGTGGATTATCTCGCCCCACCCTTCCCCAGCACTGCGGGGTAGGGACCACGACTGCCCGGTTTCATGGGTGAGAAACAAAACTCTCTGTAAACGCAGGAGCGAGCGTTTGAGCCGGCAGAACAGGTCCAACGGGGGTGTCCAACCCTCGGCCCGCGGGCGGCACGCGGCCCAGGGTGGCTGTGAATGCGGCCCAACACAAAACCGTGCATTTACTTAAAACATGATGAGATATATTTTTGGTGATGATGTGTCGCAGTGTGTTTAATGTGTGGCCCGAGACAACGCTCCTTCCTCCGGTGTGGCGCAGAGACGCCAGAAGGTGGGACGCCCCTGGAGAGCCTCTCAGCCAGCAAACAACACCCCTTACATTTGCATGGCATTTGCCAGTCGCTAAAACATGTTCAGATGTACATTCTAGCCAGAATTTTAAAAAAAATCCTTTATAGCAGCGCTGCGAAGCCGACGGGGCAGCTATAAGGATCCCAACTCTACAGACTGAGACACCGAGAGCCGGGTTAAGGGACCTGCCCAGAGTCAGGGAGCTGGGTCCTGGGAGAACCAATTCTCAAGTCCATTGCGTCTGCAGCCAGTGCTCTGTGCCCTCCCGTCCGTGGATGCGGTGGGTGTGGTCCTTCCCTTCCGCAGCCCGCCAAAGGACACCAGGTGAGAGGGTGTTCCGGACTGTCCCCCAGGAGGCGAGCTCCAGCCCGGTGTGCATCGCAGGGGTGAGAAACGTCTTTTTAAACAGCTTCCCTAGTGCTGGTCTCCTGTGACTCAGCACATGGGTCCCAGGCTTCCTCGGCGAGGCTTCTCCCGTCACGGTGACAGAAATGGCCATTGCAAATGTCAAGGCCGCAACAGCTCTTGGGGCCTTTGGGACAGGTCAGTACTCCCTTCCGGTTCCTTCTTCCAGAAATCAAAGCTAATAATGCCAATAGAGGATGGTCCAAGAGGAGGATTTTAAAGTAAAAAAGAGATGCAGATGGATTTTTTGTCTTTGACAACTTCACCCGGCAAATTTTAACCTTGAGACCTGAGGCTGCGGGTATACATGGCCTTCACTCCTGCCGGGGAAGCAGCGCCGGTGAAGAGCTCCTGAGGGCGGTGTCTCGGTGGGGGGGGCCGCCCCCACCTGCCCGGTGGCTTAGCAGCAGCTGTGTACACGGGGTGTCAGCAATTCACGTGCAATGCAAGGATACTGAACTAGAAAGCAAGCTGTGAAGGAGCCGTGTGCCTTGTGCTCTGAATTCTCGGGGTGGGGCAAGGGGGACGTGCAAAGCAGTCTGAGGTTCCCACTTTGAAATCTGGGGGAGAGCGGGCAGTTAGAAAGTAATAACCTGTGGCTTGAGGAGCAAACGTGCCACGCTGGCTGCTTGGTGGGTTTGCATCGATTTCACACCCAGGTGGGGGAGCGGTAGAATTAGTCCCGGGAAGTGTCTCGCTCTAAGGAGTGAGTGACGACCATCAGGTGCTGATGGCTGGGTCTGGTGGCTGTGCTGGCTGGCAGAGGCTGCTGGTGACGGCTCCTCACAGGTCTGACGGCATCCAGGGGGCAGGGGACCGTGCTCTGCTGGCTCTTGTACCCCCTGGACTCATGGGGAGTCTTGGCCAGCACACTGATCAGCTCCCACGGGAACCTGCTTCACCGGGCGGGCAGGTGTGGACAATCCGTTTAGTGGGTTTGTCTTCTGCCTCCCACATCTAGCTCTTTCCATCATTTGACATAGCCTGGCTTTCATATCAAAAGACAATTTCTTTGTGTACGTGGCTTTTCAAACATTTTTAAACAATTCTGCTCTACTTAGCATCCCGGAGAGGATCAAAGAATGCTGGAAGGTGGTGGGCGACCAGCATCCTCTTTCTCGCTGCACCACTAATTAGCTGCCTGGCTCTGGAAAAATCTCTCTGTCTCTCCGGACGGCTGCTTTTTACATCTGTGAAATGAGAAGTCCAGAGCCGCCGCTAAGGCCTGTTCTAAGCGCTCCTATTCACGACTTTACCTTCACGCAGCCAGAGAAAAGGGGCAACAAGACTGAGATGCCGCCCCATGGCCCGCTACGAGTGGAGGCCAGGGCTAAGAGTCCCACACAGTGGCGTCCTGAGCACTACACCGCATCACCCTCCTGCAGCCCGTGGGCTGCAGGATGACACCCACATGATGGGCGGCTATGGTCCATGCCCTTGCAAAGAGGAAGGGACGACAGAGAGCAAGCCTGTACTGTGGACCCCCATGGTTTCACCTTCCTCCCTCCCACCGGCGAGGGCAGCAGGGACACTGGCCTGTGTGCACCTGGCCGGAGATGTCCAGCGGTGGACACATAGCCCCTCCCACAGCCTCCTCACAAAGATCAGGCCGAGGAGCAGTTTAGATAACGGCCTAGATGGTTGTGGGCAGAGACCCGTGGCGTTCGGTTTAAAAGGCATAAGAACAGTGCCTCCCGCAGTGCCTGGTGGCTCCAGGGTTGCCATAGAAACAGATGGAGATGAGGTAACTGTCCTTCCTCACATGCTTTGGAACCTGTCATTTACCCGGGCCTCCAGAAGTGTGCCTCCCACAGCCTGGAGGGGACCTGTTGGCAGTGGCGTGGGCTCCTGGCTTGGCCTCTGCCTGGGTCGGCGACCGCTATGCCGACAGCCACTGAGTCTTCCCCGGATGGCCGGGAGGGGCTGTCTCCAGTTCAGTCTGGGCCCTGGGTCAGGCTTAAGGCTCTGTCTGCAAAGGGACCTGCCCCTGTAGAAAAGCAGGGTCAAGATCACGGCAGGTACGGACAGCCCAGCCACGAGCACTCCCTCCGAAGCACCTGCACGACAGAAGGGCCACGGGCACAGTGGCCCCAGCGGACCCTCAGCACCCTCGGGTGCCTCGCCCCATGGGTGGGAATCGGCCCCCTCCCCCAGCCACTGCCTGGTGACTTCAGATTCTGAAACACGGAGGTCGAACTTCTTCATTAAGAAGAGTTGGTGTGACATCTAAGCATACTTTTATAAAGATATTTCCATTCAGAAAGCAAAATTAGGAGGCTCAATAAGATCACTGAATATGGAAAAAATGAAGGGACATGGAACTATGTTTTCCCTAAGCAGTGCATTATTAGTTGTTTCCTTGTGATCACCCCCACCCACCCACAGCTGTTATTGCCATGGATCTTCTGCATCAGATCTTCGTTTTGGGATACCACCTTTGTATCGGTGCCCGGGGCGGGGCCCACCTGCTGCGTGCCATCTGGACAAAGGAGGTCACAGCCTTCTGACGCGCTGCCCTGACTGTCAGGATGCCAGGGGCTGCTGGCAGACCTTAGCACTTTACTCCTGTCTGCACCTAACTCCTCACCTACACACACACTTTTCCCATGAGGGCGCTAGACTGTTTCATCAACCAGCAACACCTGGTGACGTGTAGGCGCCTGCCTGGCTAGTCTGGTTGTCGCCGACTCACCGGCCATCTCAGGCGGCAGTGCTCAGAAGGGCTTGTTGTGGGACATGGGGAGAGGCAAGGCAGGGTCAGTACTTTGCCACGTGCAGTGTGCACCTTTTCACCCAAATCTTTGAGGGGAAAAATAAGGATGCACGTTATACATGGGTAGTACCTGAAAATACCTTGTATCTCTTTTTATGTTTTGTACTTAATTGTTATGTAAGATTTCTTGTACCATAATATGTGCAAAAATAAAGGCTAGAATTCCTTTATAATACAGAAACCAAGTATCTAAATATAAATAATTGAATTAAACAATGAAAGCAAAAGATTCTTTTCCTGAAAGTTCGGGCCGACACTGTGGGTGCGGGACAAGCCCGCGAGCCCGGGGTTCACGGCAGAACGTGGTGTTCTGGAGCCGGGGAGGGGGCTTGCGGACACCCTCTGCATTGGAGCGGCCCTGCCCAAGGTGGTCCCACGGCCTGTCTCCCCACTTTCCTCCGCCTCAGGGATGGAGGAATGGGGTCACCGAGGCCATGGCCTTCAGTCTCAGGGGTCAGACCCAACTTGTGGCGAGAGCCTGACCTTTTCTGCCCTCCCCCCGCCCCCCATAAGTCTGCCCCATCAGTGGCGACGGGCTGAAGAAACCAGCTCACTCGGAAAGCAAAGGAACACGCCCCAGCGGGGAACCATGTTTGCCCCGACCCCACCTTCCCTGCCGCGCCTCTTGCCCTCTCCCGTTAGTGTGCTGGGCCACCCGCGCCCAACGCCCGGGAGCCCCTCCTACCTGCCGAGCAGTCCGGGCCCTGGTAGCCCTCGTCGCAGAGGCAGAGGCCCTCCCGGCACTGCCCTCGCCCGCTGCAGGCGTTCGGGCACCGCCGCTGGCCGCAGTCCTCCCCGACGTAGCCCTCCTGGCACCAGCAGGTCCCGTTGGCGCAGGTGCCCTTCCCCGAACAGTCCCCGGGGCACCTGAGCGCGCTGCAGTCCTCGCCCGTGTAGGGCTCCTCGCAGACGCACTGCCCGTCCACGCACAGCCCCCGCGAGCTGCAGTCCGCGGGGCACCGGAGCTCGGAGCAGTCCTCGCCGCCGTACTCGCCGTCGCAGACGCACTGGCCGTCCACACACGCGCCCCGGCCGGAGCAGCCCAGTGGGCAGTAGGGCTCCGAGCAGTTCTTGCCGAACCAGCCCTCGTGGCAGACGCAGCCGCAGGACTCGAGGCTAAAGTTGCCGTGGCCGCTGCACTGAGGGACGTAGTCCAGTTGTCCTGCAACGGTCAAGGGGAAGGTCAAAGGGCAGCAGAGGCTCCCCCTGAAAACGGTGCATGGGGAGGGGCGGACAGAGACCCCCTCTCACTGCCCGGTCAGACTGAGGCCGCTGAGAGTTAATCGCAGCCTGTATAATCAGCTTCGTGACTACCTCCCCGAGTCTGGGTTGCCTGTGCCGAGCACAGTGCAGGGGCAAGGATGCGTGAGCTCGGGGCCCTCACGTGTCGGGGGCCCACCTTCGGTGCGCCCCAGCCTGGCTTCCCGAGGAGGAGGCCTTAGCTGGGGATTCACGTGAAAGTGACTCATCAGAAAGTGCTCCCAGGAAAAAACGGTGGGGACAGGGGTTGTTTGGGGAGGGGAGGAGCCCAAGCCAGATGCGTTGTCAGGCACAGTCCCCCTCGCGGTCCCTTGGGTTCAGTCTGGCAGGGTGCCCTGGTCACGGCGCAGGTGACACCTCACTGAGAGTAAAAGGCCATCCCTGGGGGGTGTGCATGCTCAGGCTCTTCCACTGTCTCTCTGGGCAGGTTGAGAGGGGTCCCACGGCCCGAGGACGGCTCCTGACAAAGGCACCCAGGTACGGTGGGGACAGAAGGGGACCCGAGGGGGTGTAGGCTGGGCACTGAGCACGCTATGTAGGGCAAGGTCGTACGTGCTGTAGCCCCGCCCTGGGCCTCTCCTTCCTGCCATCCGACTCCCTCTGCTCATTCATCACGACTCAGCTCCAGGGTCATCTCAGACGCTCCCACAGCCTCGGTCTCATTTAGTCACTACTCGCTGTGATCCCTTTAGGAGTCTGTGCTTATCTCTGTCCCGGCCCTCGCCACGCTGTAACTACAGCCGCTAATTTATCTGGCTAACATGAATCAAACAAACTTATTAAGCAAACACAAACCCAGTACCTGCTCGACATCCTCCTCTGCCCTTGGCCTTGGGGATATGAAGTGCATAAGCTATATCCTGTTTAATCCCGTCACTTCAATCAGCCCCCACGGCCTGGAAGGATGCAACACTGACATGGCTGAATGTGGCTCTTGCTCGTAGATTTTTCCGTGTCTGCCAGGGAGCCTGGGGGAGGCTGGGGAAAAGCCACTTACGAAGCTGCCCTGCTCCGCGGGCAGCAAAGTGCCCATGCTCATGGACACACGTGATTTCCCCGCATTCCTGGCTGGCTCCATGGGAGAACCGACCTGACAGTCCTCCCCAGCTGGAGACTGGACTCTCTTCCCTTCTGCAGACTACGTACAGTTTTGGTTGGGAAGAGGAGTGGAGGTGAGAAAACCCACAATGCACGTCATTACTCGAAGACCACCCCTTGTCTGCGTGCATCTCGGGATAAACGTGTCTGCTAGCCCGCTGGACACGGGGGCCGTCCGGGCCGCCTCCTGCTCTCACCCTGCGAGAGCCTGGAGACATTAGCAGGGAAAGCTGAACCCGAGACTGTACAACTCCTCTTCCTAAGGAGCGCACGGCCTGACTCTGAGTCCCTTCCGGGTGAGGGACAGTGTGCACCCGAGGGTGCAGACACAGCTCCTGTGTTCTGTGTGGGGGCCCTCCAGTGACGGCTAGTGCTTGTACAGGGCGCCCTGGACGCCCGGCTTTCACCTGAGTAGATGCTGTTATGTTCAGTGACTCCTGGCCGTTCCTGTCTCTCACTGTTTGTCGGTGGGGAAGGAAAGGCACTGGCCACGGAACTTGCTTCAGGACTAAGCCAGTAAGTAGCAGAGTCGGGATTGGAACTCAGGAAGTCTGGCTCTGAAAACCTAACGACCCCTATCAGAGACACACAGACAGTACTCATAGGAGTTACTCATCGGGGGGTGGGGCGGCTAGAGGAACCTTCCTGAACATTCAGGGGCCGGTGGGATAAGTTCTGTGAAGTGTGTGTGCATGTGTGTGACCAGGTGTGTGTATGCGTGTGTGCTGGTGGAGGGGCGGGAGCCAGAACTTCCACCTTGCCGGGGACAATGGGGACCGGTCCGCAGAGACCTGGGTGCCTATCCTTTACTCAGATGGGAGAAAAGCTGCGACTGAGTGAGCATGGCGCCTGCAGCCACCAGTCCCTCGGGTTACCACGGATACCTCCAACTCAACAGCCTGTGAAAACCAGGGATGAGGGCAGACAGACACCAAATCCCCCGCTCACCACCGAGGCTGCTGTGTGGGACCCGGGCACTGTTACCTGACTCAAGCCCCACCACCAGGCTCACGTATTTCAAACTGGCCAAGGGAGTGGCGATGAGAATGCTGGTGCTGAACCCGTGGGGAAGGACCGCCTTTCGATCTTGGAGGCGGTGCAACAGACAGCTGCAGACTGGGGTGCCTGTCCCCCACCCCCCTTCCCCACCTGAGGCCCCTGCAGGCCCCGGCCCTACCTGTGGCGGCGCCGTCTTGGCAGCAGCTGCCGCACTGGTCCCGCAGCACCGACACCTCCCTCTCCAGCATCTCGATGCGGCCGAGCAGCTCCTGCAGCACCTGGGCCGAACCGGCACACGGGCAGGCCTGTTTGGGGAGTTTGATCTTGTGGGTGAAGGTGACCTGGCTCCCCTGGTCGGAGGTCTGGTCCGGGCGCTCGGCCGGTGCCTCGTCGTCCGCACTCACCTCCCTCTCGGCGGAGGCCTCCAGCCCCGAGGAGCAGAGGCCGTCCAGGGGCACGTTGACGTTGTACTCGTGGTTGAAGGCCACGGGCGGCTCTGCGTCGGAGGCGTTGTAGCCGGCCACGCCTCCCCGCTCCTCCGCCGCCGGCCGCTGGCCCCTCTCCACGGGCACCTCCAGCTGACACTCCGAGGGCTTGAGCATGGAGCCCAGCAGGATCAGGTTGACGCCCAGGAGCACGTTCCTCAGGACCCCCGTCTCCCCGTCCGCCCCCATCCTCTCTGCAGAGCCCCGGGGTCAGCGCTGGCCCGCGGCACACAGCATGGGGCTGTCGGGATCTGCAAGAGAGACAGGGCTGAGATGGCCTCTGGGACCCGTGCATCACCGGGGCCACGCCGGGTACCGCCCCGCAAAGCCACCGAGCGGGCTGCGGAGCACGTTCAAGGGCGAGGTTGGGAAGGGACAGGAGCTGACAGGTCCTCAAAGCCCAGAGCTCTGTCCCCTGGAGGGAGGGATCCCTGACACAGTCACGGCTCCTGCGGAAGAACAGCTGGGTTTCCCAAAGACTGCTCTGGGACGCACGCGTCTGGGCCCCGTGGTGGCGGGTGGTCCCAGCCAAGAGAACGTGCGAGGGCAGGGGCCCCGGGGCGCCGTGCAGAGGCCACTTCTCCCAGGAAGACTCAGAGCTTCCTTCCGCGGCTGCGTGAGAATGAGCACGAAGTCCTTATGGAGCCTCAGGTGCACCCTCACATTTCCGCAGCCGAGTAGGGGCCCCGCCAGCCACTTCGGAATAACTTATTAATTCCTCTGATCTCATCTCTTCAATACAAATTGACTTTGGAGTAACCAACCAGGCAGATAATATAGTTCCAGGTAATTGTGGTTGTTAATAACCCTTGGGTACATTTGTGATGATCTGGGACTGTGCGAGCTGAACTTTCTTTTAATCTTCTCATTAGTGTAGTCCCAGCGCTGTGTGATCACAGGGGTCCTTTCTTCCCAAGTCCTGTTTAAATTGCTAAAATAATAAATCGGCCCCTCAGCTGGTCACCTCGCCACAGACAGCCGCAGAGAACAAGACATTTACTGGAATGCAAATCCATTGCGCAGAAATCGTGTTTCTTTTCTACTTCCCACGTGGAGGAGAAAAGAGGCTCACAGACTTTGGTTCTAAAGGCGGTGTGAGGGCTGCTGAGAAGGGGAAGGACCAAGAGGGGATGAGGCGAGAGGAACTTTGGGCCCGAGGGCAAAACCGCAAGGGGAGCAAACTCGCGCTGAACGTTCCTGGTGTGCAGACCGCACCGCGCCGCTCACGGGTGACCTTAGTTGACCCTCAGAACAGCCCTACGCTGGACGTGATGATCGTTCCTGACTTATGATGGAGGAAATTCTGCCTAGAGAGGTCGAGGTTTGAGTGCAAAGGTCAATGAAGAGCTGGACTCCGGAGCCAGGCTGCCTGGGTGCAAACCCCACTCCTTTGCTTTGCCTTCCAGCGGTAGGAGGTCATTTAATGTCTCCGGGCCCGTTTCTCCATCTGTAAGGTGGGGATCATGAGTCCCTGCAGCCGACGGAACTGTGGCGACGACTGAGTTGGGACCTGTGTAGCATTTAGCTGGAACCTGACACTCAGTAACACAAACAGGCACTGTTCGCACAGAGGCAGAGTAACTGTTCCGGTCCCCGTCCCATCTGGGCCAGATACAGCCTGGTGACCACTGCCAGGGCTTTCTGTTCCACGGTGGATAAGTGGTCACTGCTCAGAGACACGTCCACACGCCAAACCCATGTTATGACCTAGGCCCTGTCCTTGAGGAACTGGCCTCAGTCTTGTGGAGGAGACAGAAACACAAGTAAATCTCATGGCAGTGCAATGTGATCATTACCGTGACCGACAAGAACACGGAACACCCCGGGGGGGCTGCGGTGACACAGGCCCCCGTGCCGGGAACAGCAGGGAAACCCACTCCGAGGGGGTGGGCCGCCATCCGTGCCACTGGCCGGGGGTTCCCGGCCTGGCGTCCAGACACGTGGTGGGACTATACTGTCCAGGGCGTGATTCCATCCATAGCAACACCGACAGCCAGCTGGGCATTCACCAGGCACCAAGATAAGTGTTTTCCTTAAATTATTTCATTCATTCCTGACAACGACCACATGAGAAAGGGAGGAGTGATATCCAGGAGCCGAGATATTTAGTAACTGGTGGGGCTCCGGCAACAACCAATCAGAGCAGCCGTAAACAACCAGTGGGGCCCCGAGGTGATTCCACTGTGACAGTAGGTCCTCCTCTAATTTCTGTTGTGGACACAGAGCTTCAGGAAAGGCCAAGGAACTGACCATCGAGGTTCGATGATGGACCTCGAGCAAGCAAGAGGAGCCCAGATTGAAGCCGGTATAGCCAGCCATAGTCTATACTCTTTGAAAACATTTTTTAAAAAATTGACTTTAGAGACAGGAGAAGGGAGGGAGAAAGAGAGGGAGAGACACATGGATGTGAGACAGCAAGATCAACCGGTAGCCTTGTCCAGGCTGGCGCTCCGACTAGACTAGGGACCGGACCCACAGCACAGGCGTGTGCCCTGACCATAATTCGAACCTGCGACCTTCCCGCGTGCCGATGCTCCAACCAGCTGACCCACACCGGTTAGGGCAGTCAATACCCTGAACTGCGGTTTCTCCACCACCTTTATTAGTGGCCGCACACCGTTCTCGTGAAAAGGGGTGCAAATCAGCCCTCTTACAAGTCAGCGTGCTCCTCTCCCCGGATGAGACCTGGGGCTCCCCGACAGCGACGACTTTCAGCGGGATGGTTTCTCTGCCCATCCTGTCCACCACCCCAGACACTGCTTCAGCCTCTCTGCCCGGAGGTGAGGCTGGTCTCGAGGTACCCAGCCTACTCTGCGTCCCAGGAAGCCAGGACAATTTTAGACCAGGAACCGGGACTCTGGTGGGGGCCGGAGACGTGTCTGAAACTTGCCCTTCCCCGCTGAGCCAGCAGTTGCAGAAAACCGGGGCTGGTGGCGGCACCCTCCGGCTCCATTCACTTGTCTGCGCCCCCCATGGTGAGTCCCTGTCACCGGCCGCTGTGGATCGCGCCGCAGACCCTCCCGCTTCCCTCCTGCACCTGCGCACTTGGTTTGGGTTGCTTTTCTGCACAGAGGGAAGGCGGGAGGAACGGCGGGGGGGGGCTTCGCTTTTCTCACTCCTCCTGAAGCCTGCTGGAGGCGAAACAGAGCTCACGCTTATTAACACCAACTTAATAAAGGTGCCCTCGGTTCTGCTGAGCTCGGGTCATGTGTCACGTAACAGTTATCTCAAAGCGGCCGTTCTTTCTGGTGTCCCTGAAAGCTTCCCTCTCCGGCCCCATCTTCTACCTCCACCTCCTAGTCCCCGTGCCGCTGAGAACGCTGACTGCCCGGCGGGGGTCTCCCGGGGGCGCTTTCCAGCGGGGCAGTGGGCGAGGCTTTGCAGTGGGCTCCCTCTGAGGAAGGCCTGGTGTAAGCCCACGGCACATGCACGGGGCTGCATGGGATGTTCATCTCCTGTGGGGTGGGGGTCCCGCCGGCTCTGAGCCCCTTCATCTGGCTTCAGTGTGAGGGGATGTCTGTATCTCTAAGCTGAACGCAGAATCCGTCACCAAAAGCCACTTCGGAGGCTGGAGGGGACCGGCAGAGCCTCCTCCCCTCCCTTCCCTGTCTCCCTGTCTCCCTGTCTCTCAGATGCACCACCTGACTAGCCGGGCTCCAGGACTAGAAGCAGGATGGGCCAGTCAGGGACGAAGCGGTGGTGGGCGGAGGGACAGGAGGGAAGACCAGAGAGGATGGCAGGGGACGAACAGCAGGGCGCCAGGCCGGCGCGGGGACCGGATGAGCGTCGCACAGGTGGAGCGAGAAAATGCGAGCCCGAGGGACAGGTAACACACCCGGGGTCCGACGACACGCTCGCAGTGGTGAGCAGGACAGATCGCTCTTGACCCCGCAAATGACAGTGCAAGGGGGTTGTGGCAGTTGGACAGACTGACATTCACGGGATCTGCTCAGTGCCCTTGACTCGTTTCCTGCGCTCCGGCTTCCGTATCAACATCGTTACTGTGGCCGCACCCAGGGGTCTCCAGGGACTTTGTAAGAGGGGGGTGGACAGCAGGATGGCCCTGCGGCCGGGGCGGTGCCCTGTTACTGAAAGGGAGTTCCTCTCTGGAAGTCACCGCAGCCCGCGGAAGCTCCTGCCCCAGCCCAGGTCGCCCGTGAGTGGCCTTTCCCTTGGCCTGTCCACCTGTCCTCCCCTGCCTTTATTTCCTCGCACGGAAGACTTCGCTGCTGTTGCAGAAAAATACCCGGCAGGCCCTCGCCTTTTCACAGGCTGGAGGAAAAGGGAGAGGAGAGCTGGTCTCCGGAAGGCAGGTGGGGGCGGGGAGGGGACGAAGAGGAAGAGGAAGAGGAAGAGGAAAGCCAGCAGTCACTCAGAAGCCAAGCCTCTGTAGTTTTTTCTCCTGGAGTCGAGGAGGGGGTGGAAGACGGACGTGGGCAGAGGGACCTCTGGGGGAGAAAATGGAAGAGAAACAATGTGTGTGCAGGCTGTCGGGCAGGTTGGGAGAGGCCATCTCTCCAGGGGGGAGGGGCAGTGCTCTGGATTTCTAGCTGCCGCCACCAAGAATCCCCGGGGGTGATTTGCAGACCAGGACTCTATCTGCAAAAAAAAATGACTCTCTCTTTTTTTCAGTTGGAAATAGTTTAAAAATAGTTCTCCTCCCCGCCGTTGGGACGCTCTGTCACTTGGAGAAAGAGAGTAATTATGAAAGACGAGGTTGTAATGTGATTACAGCGGCCCCATTGTGTCAGCGGAGGCAGCCGGGCCGCCGGGAGGCCCGGCCGCTCTCCCTGTCAGCGCTGGGCCTTTATGGGGCCTGTCAGGTTTGTGAACAGAACCCGAGGGCAGGAAACTCCCTGCAGACGGGCCGAGCGGCTGCTCCGGAGCCAGCCGGCGGGAGGCCCGCCGCGGGGTGGGAGGACAGCCGCCCGGAGCGCCGATGCCCCGATGCTCCGGAACTGCATCTGCCCCCACGCGCCGCACTGCCCTCTGCAGGCAGGGCCTCTGGTGCGGAGCCGGGTGGGGCACTTTCGAGTTTCAGCGCTAGGGGTCAGCCCAGCCTGCCTGCGGCGCTGCGGCGGGGTGGCTTGGAGGAACCACGTGGGCTGGGACGTGGGGTTTTGTCTCCCTCTCTGTCGTGCATGCTCGGTGAGAACGCTAACTGACCCGACCTCCCGGAACGGTTCCTTCTTCAGCTGCAAAACTGGGTCTTCAAAAGTAGGGTCTTGGGCATCGA